TAGTGACAGAAAACTGACCAAGGGTGACTGGCCTCTTATAAACTATAAATTTTTTAAAGCGGTTGAATAAGAAAAAAAATACCAGATTTTCATAAATGTCATATTTAGGGGTTAGTAAATTGAATGTGTTTACTCCTCAATTTTAATTATTAAAGGGACGTAACAGTGTCAAGAATTTACACTTTTAATTGCCCCCGTTCTACAACTACACACAAAAATAAACGAAGAAATCATTAGATAAAAGAAAAATTCCTTTAAAATTTATAGTTAACTTTTTTCAATTAAGTGAGAAAATTAATAAAAAGTTTTCCCGCTAAATTATACCTATATAAAGGGATATAACAGCGTCAAGAATTTCAACTTTTAATTTCCCTAGTACTTTGGTTCCACACAAAAATAAACAATAATATATTAATAACATAAGAATTTTTAAAAATGTTTTAAAATTTATTCTACGCAATATTCAAATAGGTGAGAAAATTAAACCGTCTCTAAAAACTGATATTTGAGGATGCCACTTGCAAAACCTGCAGTCCACTTTTTGAACAAAATAAGTTGCTCTTCTTGCATTCATTATAACTATAAGAGCCAACCCGCGGCGTAGCATACGACGTTATTTAGTTGTTTTATTTTCTACTTTTCAGTAATTCATAATTTGTGAATTCGACACAACCAATGCTGCCTCTGTAAATATTTGCTTTAAAACACTATGAGTAGTTCGTTAAGGACGATAAACCACCACCCCACCCTCCTTTACCCCTACCCCCCTGTGAAAGCAGCCTCCTCTTAGTTACCTCCCCTAAGTTTAAAATTGTTTCAAACTAAATTATCTGCCCCTAATAGCCGTCACTACGATTGTAAACATTTGGCGTGAACCACAGCTCGCCAGACTGGTGGGGGGTGGGGGTGGTAGCAATATGCCTATAGAGGAAGAGAGGGGGCTGCTAGGCGTGCTTACGTCTTGGTGGTGGTGTCCCGCAAGGTCCCCATGAAGAGAATTATATATATATATCCTAATTTATAAAAGGCCATGTGCGCTCTTCTCTCTCTCTCTCTCTTTCTCTGTCCGCAAAAATTTTTCGCCGGACATCACGTCAGAATCGGCAGCGATATATCGAGAACTTTTTACGGACTTTTGTTGAAAATAATATGTTAGATGTTTTAAATGTATAACCACAATTTTACTTAAAGAAGAAAAATAAAAATTAAAGGCGTATTCGAATGTAGAGAAACAGTATTATTTATGCAACCGGAAAAGCATTAATACATGTGAAAAAGAACGCATAAAACTGTGACGTCGCTATTGCTTATACATTAACTAATGACGTCATCTGCTGTGTTTTGAATAAAAAGAAATGAACTATTTCATTCAAATTTGATTTAGATCTACGTACACTATGAAATGTATACAATACAATTTTTCCGGCCTAAACTCATAAAATTTATTTTATGTATTTGGATTCTAGATCTAGACTAGATTCTAAATCTAAATCTAAATCTACGCAATAACTAGACTAGATCTAGACGTAGACGCTAAGATCTAGATTTAGACTCTAACTTCTCTAAAATCAATTCCAAAAATAAATTTCTATATTAGGACTAAACTATTTCAAGACTTATTTATTTTATACAAAATCTTTGTTTGGAACTGGCTAATTTGAGATAAAAAAATTAATTTGAAAGAATAGGCATATTCGCGTAAGTTAAGATTTTAAAATACGTGTTTCATTCTCCGAATATTATAAGGTGCCTAAATAGCGGAGATGTTAGTGTACATTAAACCACTCAGGTGGTGCGGGTTCGAGACACACCAAGTCAACTTGGTTAATGTATTTTTTTTAATTATGCTCGGGCTAAACTTAAAAAAAAAATTCTTTTAGGAATCTAGATCTAGATCTAGATTGTCGGGTGTCCGATAGGGCACTTCCCGGCGCCGCAGGCGCTTCAAATTTGGCAGGATCTTGCCTTGGGGCGACAGAACACGGGGGCCGGTTGGCCGAAAAGTCTACGATGAGGGGGTCAAAACTGACCTCGACTGACCGGTACCTTATATGAGCTATAAATTAAAAAAAAATGTCCACGGAGGAACCTCTTCATAACTCTTGAGGTCGTAGACCGACCCTCGGGCGAATTAATTAAGCATTCAAATTCTCAATGTTTTCGAAAGCCTAAGCGAAGCTGGGCAGCATGCCTAGTATATATATATATATAGAAGTGGTAATTTATATCACATCATGCACATGTTCTGACATCAGATAAAATTGTATCCTCACTATAATGATCAAACTAAAATCTTTTTGTACCTTAAGAATGCTCTTTAATTGAAAATTTTATAAATTCACAAACACCAGGCAGTGCAAGGTTTATGAATATGATGCTTAATGAGCACAAAAGCCACAGCCATTTACAAATAACTTACCCCTTTGACACGGCTTAAATAGAAGTATATTGTGATATATTTGTGTCAAATATTATAGATACATGAATAATAAACCTTAATCAGTGGCTAAATATATTAATATAGGTAAGAAATTAACTTTAATAAACAGCAGTGCTTGCAAGCAGGATTTGCTATATAAAAAGCAGCCATCTGTAAGTTAGAGTGGCTTCCCCTGAATCCTGCGCTATAAGTTTACAATTAAAAACAATAAACAAGATGGCTGCTATAGTAAATGAGCATGGTTGCATCTGTTGGAAATATCACTTACTTATTACTATTAGTCTTCATTTATTACTGAAAAGTTTTAATTGTTTAAAAACAGGTACATAAATGAAACAAGGAAGCACGATTGTATTTTTCAAAACATAAATCCTCCTCAAAATGTGAAATAATTATTAAAATTTAAGGAGTCACCTGTTTTTCACATTACTATTACTAGTCGCGGGCGATTTTACGTACCTTTTACTTAATGTCTTGCTTATATTGAATATGTTCACATTGATATATTGATATATATTATTTAGCTATAATTTAGCCATTGATTTAGGTTTATTATTCATTTATCTATAATATTTGACACAAATATATCACAATATTAATATACTTCTATTAAAGCCTTGACGATGAGTTAACTTTTGTGTACATTACTAGCCGCGGGCGATTTTACTTAGGCTACCTAAAAACGATAGATTACCAAAAAGTTGAAAAAGTAATTTTTTTTTATTTTTTTTTTATTTCTTTTTTTTTTTTTTTCTGGTTGAAAAAGTAATAGATCTAGATCTAGAATCTAGATTAGATACAGTAGGCCTGTTGAGTATAATTTGAGTAAGGTAAAACTCCATTTTAGCGTATTTTATTCTCCGTTGCTTGTTTACCTCCAGTTGAGCGTATTTTATTATAATAACCGAAACACACCAAAACATTAGGAAACACGAATTTAATATTTGTATTGTATTGTTGTTTTTCATAAATGAATAAAAATGAATATTAAAAAAAAACGACTTATTTTTTTATTTTGTATTTTTGTTTTAACAAATGAATAAAAACAACAAAGAGACTGACTAATATCCTTTGTTTGTTGGTTGCAAAAATAGAGATGCACACTTTGTACAAATAAGTGTTCCAATGTCAACTAACAGAATAAAAGAATTAAAAGGCATAAGGGGTCGTCCATAAATTACGTCACACTGTAGGGGGGGGGGGGGGTCCGTAATTTTGTGACGGTGTGTGATGAGGGGGAGGGAGTGTTCAGATGGTGCGACGTCACACTTTTGCATTATAAAAAAGCAATGTTAGAAAGCAAATTCTAGACGTTATCTCGCGTTTTAGAAAACTGTTTTAATAAATTGTAATAGGAGTTGATTAAAATACTCTATTTTGACAGAGGCTGAGGTGTGATGTTATTTTAGAGGGGGGGGTGTCTGGGTTTTTGTGACAACGTGTGACGGAGGGGAGGGGGGAGGTAAAAATCGTCAAAAAGTGTGACTAATAATGCTGCCGAAAGTGGGGCGGGGGTGGTGGAATTTGGTGAGGGATGGCTTGGAGTGTTAAAGAAAGTGTAACAACTCACGTTGCCATTTTAAAAGAAAATAGTGTTAGACACTAAATTTCATACGTTATTTCGCATTTTAAAAATGCAATCGTGATGCATGAATTTAAATAGTAAAACGAATAGCTAAATAATACAAATTTACTACAGGGATCATCCATAAATGACGTCACGCTTTTTAAAAACGATTTTTACCTACCCCCTCCAGTAGCATAGCGGGGCAGGGACATATGTCCCCGGGCGCCGACCTCAGGGGGCGCCAAAATGGGTTGGAAAAATAAATTGAAAGGTTGAGGGGGGTGCAAATTGAAAAGTTTTTCCCCGGGAAGGGTCGCTACGCCTCTGCCCTCCTCCCCTCTGTCACTTACAGTCACAAAATTGCGGACCTCCCTCTCCCCTACGAGTGTGGCGTCATTTATGGACAACCCCACATCATTTTTTTTAAATGTCAGAAATTTACTCATACAAAAAAATCATACTTGATACATAGATCTATATCAAAATATTGGGAAGGATGGTAGATTTACTATGAATTTAAATAACATTCAACTCTAGTCTATAGGCCTAGTAAAATATGTTTTTCAGTTTTGGCAAAACAGTCAAATTAAAAAACACAGAGTTTGTAGGCCTACATTTATTGCATAAATACAAAAATATCATACAGAATAATTAACAGTGTATCAGTTTCACCATGAGAGACAAATGCCTTTAAAAAATACAATACAAATAAACAAGTCGTGTTTTTTTTTAAATAGGCCCTAGGGCCTATTCCTTTTTATTTATTTGTGAAAACAACAATACAATACAAATAAATAAATCGTGTTTTCCTAATGTTTTGATGTGTTTCGGTTATTATAATAAAATACGCTCAACTGCAGGTAAACGACAAGCGGAGAATAAATATTAAAATAAATACGCTAAAATGGAGTTTTACCTTTGAGTAAATATAATTAATATATATTCAAACATATTGATTCATATTGAGTATTAGAAGATTCATGTTGAACTTACTTTTAACTTGCAATACTTCTCTTCTCTTAATCAAGCACACTTAATCTAAAATCTAGACATATCAATTTTATAATAGTAATACTGGAAAAGGTGACGTTGTACGGGGGAGAAAAATACCATTACAAAAACAGATTTTTGTTACATTTCTTATAGTGGTCTCCCTTTGCCTGACACCGGTGTCTTGTAAATCTAAACCTAATAAAATTTATTAAAATAAAAGCAGGTTTTTATTCCTACACAACACTCAACACTGAACACCATCGTAGATCCTATGACCTGTTATGTCAAGTTTCAAGAAACTTTGAATTTATGCTACCTTTAGAAAATCAATAGCAAATTTTGGGTGTTTTTATTATGTATACGGTTATGATCATGAAAGTAGATTTTACTGATTTTTAATTAAAATAAATGACAAAAATACTCAAATTATGTTACTATTAAAACAAGATGAAATTTTATGACATTTAGAATTATGCCTACACAGAGGCGTAGCGAGGGGGGGGGCGGGGTGCGGACCGCACCGGGTGACACCATTTAGGGGGGTGACACCAAGGCAAAAAATAGCAAAATATATAGAGAGAAAAACTTGAGGGGGGGTGCTAATCGAAAGTGTGAGGGGGTGCACATCGAAAGTTTGAAAGTTTGTCCACGGGAAGAGTCGCTACGCCTCTGGGGGGGGGGTGACACCGTTAAGTGCCGCACCGGGTGACACCCCACCTCGCTACGCCACTGTGCCTACATAGTGGTTTATTATTCCTAATCGTGCGGCGATTTGATTGCTTATCTTGTACCTGTATTATAATAATCAATTCCTAAAATGTACCAATTTTGGAAAGCATACTAGTGTACAACTTGTATAAAGCCGTGCGCAATTTATTTATAAAGTTGTAATATTGTCTTTACAGTCCAGTCAAGGAGCGGGGATCGGTCAACCTCATTCAGTAGTCCCTTTTGTTTGCGAACAGAGTTTTTCAGGCATTTCTTCGGTGGGCAGCAGTGCCCCCCCCCCCCTTCCCCCCTCCAACTTAGAACAATTTTTTTAAAAATTCAAACCATACTTTAAATAATTTGTTCCACCCCCCCCCCTCCCCCCCCCCCCCCCCCCCCCCACCTCGCGTCACCTCCATTCGCTTGGACCCTATGGTTCACCTATAAATATAATTGCTTAGTTCTTTGAACGTTTAGTCTTGTTGCATGGACGGTGACATCGGCTGCCTTTGTTCATTGATGACTATCTGATTGTTCGTCCTCCTCATCATAGAAGGATTAGAAGGGGATATAACGTGCTGTAATAATCCATTTCTGTGATATTTGGAATGTAACAGGGTGTAGATTTTCTCTTCTTTTGCAGTTGCATACTCTGTCTCTTGGTCAGCCTGCCGACTTCAAACACACATGTGTTTCTTATTGTTTAACTCACGGGTTGTACATACAAAGATTTATCAATAACACAACAGCTTGTCGCTTTATTACTTTCATCAATTCAACTATAGTCTGCTTGAATGAGGGGCTTAGAAAATGTGTAGGTCAGAGTGGGCTTCTGGGGACAGGCTTCTAGTGAACCACAGTAAAATGTGTAGAGTGGGCTTCTGGGGACAGGCTTCTAGTGAACCACAGTAAAATGTGTAGAGTGGGCTTCTGGGGACAGGCTTCTAGTGAACCACAGTAAAATGTGTAGAGTGGGCTTCTGGGGACAGGCTTCTAGTGAACCACAGTAAAATGTGTAGAGTGGGCTTCTAGTGAGCCACAGTAAAATGTGTAGAGTGGGCTTCTGGGGACAGGCTTCTAGTGAACCACAGTAAAATGTGTAGAGTGGGCTTCTGGGGACAGGCTTCTAGTGAACCACAGTAAAATGTGTAGAGTGGGCTTCTGGGAACAGGCTTCTAGTGAACCACAGTAAAATGTGTAGAGTGGGCTTCTGGGGACAGGCTTCTAGTGAGCCACAGTAAAATGTGCAGGTCAGAGTGGGCTTCTGGGGAAAGGCTTTGGCATCAGGTAGTTTGACACAAGGCAGTTTGACACGAGGTAGATTTAAACCAGGCAGTTTGACACGAGGTAGATTTAAACCAGGCAGTTTGACACGAGGTAGATTTAAACCATGTTTGACACGAGGTAGATTTAAACCAGGCAGTTTGACACGAGGTAGATTTAAACCAGGCAGTTTGACACAAGGCAGTTTGACACGAGGTAGATTTAAACCAGGTAGTTTGACACGAGGTAGATTTAAACCTGGCAGTTTGACACGAGGTAGATTTAAACCAGGCAGTTTGACACAAGGCAGTTTGACACGAGGTAGATTTAAACCAGGCAGTTTGACACAAGGCAGTTTGACACGAGGTAGATTTAAACCAGGTAGTTTGACACGAGGTAGATTTAAACCTGGCAGTTTGACACGAGGTAGATTTAAACCAGGCAGTTTGACACGAGGTAGGTTTAAACCAGGCAGTTTGACACAAGGCAGTTTGACACGAGGTAGATTTAAACCAGGCAGTTTGACACAAGGCAGTTTGACACGAGGTAGATTTAAACCAGGTAGTTTGACACGAGGTAGATTTAAACCAGGCAGTTTGACACGAGGTAGATTTAAACCAGGCAGTTTGACACGAGGTAGATTTAAACCAGGCAGTTTGACACAAGGCAGTTTGACACGAGGTAGATTTAAACCAGGTAGTTTGACACGAGGTAGATTTAAACCTGGCAGTTTGACACGAGGTAGATTTAAACCAGGTAGTTTGACACCAGGCATTTTGGCACCGTTACGCTGGGTCTCTGCAGCGTAGCATTATTGTATGTTTTGTGTATGAGTTGGGGGGGGGGGAATCAGGGTTGGGGGTGGGGGTTCTCCGAAGATTTCAGGATATAAAAATAATTATATAATAATTCACTCTAATTATTTAGGGATCAAATACTTGTGTGACCGACGAGTGCGCTACGTACAGGAAGATTAACTCAATTTTGATCTTATCAAGATTTGTTTTATGTGTATCGGTTGGTACGCCGTGATATCCAACCTTTGCTACAGTTAAAAGCTTGTAAAAAAAATTACATGCAGTGTACGCCGTCCTCTCAATTGTGTGTAGCTATTGTATACCCCCTCCCCCGATAATATCAAGTGCCACTCCGAAAGAAAAAGAGTCTATAGTCTAGAACAGGGGTTAGTTCGAAGTGAGTTTTCATACAAGCCCAACGCACTAATTAAGGTTGTCGCAAAATGTAACATATATGTAACATATGTCAATGATGTCAATGAATTTTCATTAAAAAAAAAGATGTCTAGTACAGTTTACGAAACTTACGAACTTCGCCGATACTTTTTTGGTGAGTAGTTTGGTAAGTATGTAGGCGGGTAGGTGGCTAGGTGGGTAAGTGGGTAAGTGGGTAGGTGGGTAGTTAGGTAGGTAGGTAGGTGGGTAGTAGGTAGGTAGGTAGGTGCGTCATGATGTGAAAAAATATTAAATACAAAATTGTTATTTTGGTGCGAATGAATGTTGTTACGAGAGATATGACGAATGCATGTTTGATGACGCGGATGAAAGAGAGTGAAGTTTTGACATAGGAACGGGTTGTTATAGTATGCAAGCTAGGTAGTTCGGACTAGGGAGAATGTGAAAGATACTTCGTGTAATGTCGATAGTTTTATGTTTATACGAGAATAGTAGTTGAATAATTATTGACCAAGAAAATAATAGGCATTGTGTAAAGTGATTATCGCCTGTATCGTGGTGATGGGAATGCAGATGGTAGTGGTACGCTTTAAATGGTAGTAGATCACGTGATCAAACACGACACTCTCACAGCAGCCCTAACAGTCATGTATAAATGTGTCATCTAGTCCATATGGTCTTTGTGCTAAATTTCTCTTTTGAACATTTTTCGTTGTGTTTTTTCTGGTTGCGCATTTTTCTGTTTCTGTTTGCGCTTTTTTCCGTTTGCGCTTTTTTCTGTGTGCGCTTTTTTCTGTTTGCGCTTTTTTCCGTTTGCGCTTTTTTCTGTTTGCGCTTTTTTCTGTGTGCGCTTTTTTCTGTTTGCGCTTTTTTCCGTTTGCGCTTTTTTCTGTTTGCGCTTTTTTCCGTTTGCGCTTTTTTCCGTTTGCGCTTTTTTCCGTGTGCGCTTTTTTCTGTTTGCGCTTTTTTCTGTTTGCGCTTTTTTCTCTTTGCGCTTTTTTCCGTTTGCGCTTTTTTCTGTTTGCGCTTTTTTCTGTGTGCGCTTTTTTCTCTTTGCGCTTTTTTCTGTTTGCGCTTTTTTCTGTTTGCGCTTTTTTCCGTGTGCGCTTTTTTCTCTTTGCGCTTTTTTCCGTTTGCGCTTTTTTCTGTTTGCGCTTTTTTCTGTGTGCGCTTTTTTCTCTTTGCGCTTTTTTCCGTTTGCGCTTTTTTCTCTTTGCGCTTTTTTCTGTGTGCGCTTTTTTCTCTTTGCGCTTTTTTCCGTGTGCGCTTATTTCCGTTGCGCTTTTTGATTTGCGCTTTTTTCCGTTGCGCTTTTTTCCGTTGCGGTTCTTTCTGGGAACCGTTTTGTCATTGGTCGTTTTGATGCTGCACGGTTGTGTTTGTATATATATATATATATATATATATATATATATATATATATATATATATATATATATATATATATATATATATATATATATATAATATATATATATATATATGTATGGGGGGGGGGGCTAAAGCTTTTTTTTGCGGGGTGGCCCTTTTTTTCTAGTTCCGCCACTGGACTGGACTGTCTTGATTGACTACTAGCAGGGGTGGGCTGGGGGCGGGACATCGGTTTTGTTATTTGTACACCTGCATAGATTTGTTGTCCACTTAACTGTATTAAAAAAATTGAGATCTAATTCTTACCAATTTTGTCAAGCATAAGTAGTGTAAAACTTGTATAAAGCTGTCAGGTAATCCACAGTGCACAAAAATCTGGGATGGGCGCAATTTATTTATAATGTTGTACTTTTGTCTTAACTGTCCAGTCAAGGAGCTGTGATCGGTCAACTTCATTTGGTCCTCCCCTTTGTTTGCGAACGTAGTTTTTTTTTTCAAGCATCTCGGGATGAATGACCGCCACCGCCCCTTCCAGTGGCGTAGCTAGGGGAGGTCGGGTGCTGCGGTCGCCCCAGGTGCCGACCCCAAGCGGGCGCCAAAAGGGGCAGAAAAAAAATTTAAAAAGTTCATATTAAGCTGAAGTATTAAGTTTACACAGTTTAAGTTAAGGAAATCAACGGCTTTTCAAATTGATTTAACAGTTTTTGACATCATATGTGTGGCATCAAAATAAAAACTTATTGGATTGTGACTGGTAAAAAGCGCCATCAACTTTTCCAACGGGGGGGGGGGGGTCACTAACATGAATGATGAATAACTATAAATATTAATCGGAGTGTTGGTGGCGCAAAATCAGTAGTTTTCCCCGGGCGCCGGAATGGGTCGCTGCTACGCCTCTGCCACCACCCTCCGAATGAAATTGAAAAATATAACAAGACCAGTGAAAGAAAATCATTTTAGATCTAGGCAGAAGGTTTTTATTATAAATTTATTTTTTATTAATAATTTTGCTAAACGTAATCTTGCCAATAAATAAGTGTCCATTACAACTTTTCCCCCAAATATGTGTTCTTGTTTGGTCTAGTAATTTTTTTTCACTTTCCTTTTTGAAGATCTAGTTCAAATAGGGGGTGTGACTCTAAAGAGCAATAAGAATAAACTATAAACAAACCAGCAGTTTCCTCATCCTATTAGTTAGCTTAAATTAAATTTAGATACTAGATCTAGATCTAAAAATATTAAATAATAATAAATAGGCCTATAGATCTAGTTTCTAGAATCTAGATCTATATTATAAATAGTCACAGAGGCAAGTAGACACAAGTTTATTTTTAAACTTTAAGTTTTAGTTTAGGCTAAGTTAAAGTTAAATTAAAAGAAAAAAGACCATCATCATTTATTTCTGACCGCTGCTACTAGATTCTAGATCTACTATTTAGTATTTATTCTGCACTGTCTGTATTGACTTAATGAGTCAACGACTGTAAGGTAGAGTGTACTCAATGTAGAGTGTAGTGTAGATTACGATTAGCCTGGGGGGGGGGGGGTACTATTTATAAAATTTATTATTAACCCTTTGAGCCCGCCAGGCTGGTAAACCGGCTTCAACAATAGGCATATATGTCAGAAAAGCCGGTTTTCCGGCCCGATGATATAGCGTCGTATTCCTAGCGGCCGGTATACCGTCTAATTAAATATAATTAGCGGAAGACTGACTAAAACTGCAAATATGTCTTTTTAGTGCGTGATTATGATTCTAAAAATAGATTTTAGGAAAAGTGAAAGTGTTTACATTTCTTAGCAATGCCGCCGAAACGAAAAGCTGAGCCACAGCCATCGACTTCAGCATATAAAGTTGGTGCAAAAGATGAAGCAAAAGACCGAAATATCAACAAAAGATGTAGAATGACTGCATCTCAGGCAATACAACTGCTTATTGATTCTGATGAAGAAGATAATATTCCTGGTCTATATTGTGATGATAGTGACGTTGAATTTGAGACTGAACTCAGTGACATTGCAATTGACAGTGACAATGTACGTTATGATGCACGTGGTGCCAAGGACAAAGACTTGCCGAAACGAAAAAACAACTGTTTACTGGTGCAAAACATGCGAAGTTTTTCTTTGCATCGGGTCCAGCAGTGATAACTGTTTTGAAAGTTAGCACACAAAAAGGGACTTCTCGCTATGAACTAGTATGGCCAGGTATCAATAATAACAAAACAATTACTGGTGACAGGACAAATGATCTCAAGACAAATGATCTCAGACAAAATATCTCACGGACAAATGATCTCAAGACAAATGATCTCAGGACAAATGATCTCAAGGACAAATAATCTCACGGACAAAAGATACCAGGACAAAATATATCAAGACAAATGATACCACGGACAATTGATCTCAGACAAAATATCTCACAACTTAATTTTAATAGTGTATTGGATGATTTTAATTGATCTGAATTTTTTTTTTTTACTGTCTTATGGTTTTGTTTACTATGTTTAATATTGTTTATAGGCCTAAATAATTGTAAGCAATGTTTGCCGTATAAAATAGTCATATTGCACTAAACATTTTAAGGTTAGTATTAGTAATATAGTATAAAAAGATTAAAGAAATAATTTCGAAAGACAGCGTAGGTGTGCTTGACAAACATGAAACGATCCTACCACGTCAGGTGGACGAAACTAGATCAAAGAGGATGGAATAACAATAAGGACACACCTTCGTATCAAGGTGGCTTTGATGGTAGAGACATGCCTTAAGGGAAAGACATCCGCCCTCCATGGACAATACGACTAGCATATAACGTCCATTGTTATGCGTCGGTCACACCTTAGTGATCAGGTGACAAATGCTTATTTAAATGACAGCGGTCATCGCGGAGCTAAGTATGTTGTAGTGTGCATAAAACAAAGCAGTATTAATGGTGATTGCTTTGCTATGGTCTCTTACGTTACCTCGCAGAAAGGTATTTGGACATTAGTTTCTGGTGAATTTATGTTTGCCATAAACAGGCAAAGACATTTGGAAATATGAAATTAGGACATGTCAAGCAAGAGTTCACACAATAGATGGTCACATAGTATTGGAGAGGTGTGATCATAACGCTGTACCTACCAGAAAAGAAACGTAAACGTTATGTTTGTGTTGATGATGTAATAAAAACAATAGTTTAACGTTACGAACCTTCAGACCCAATCACATTTTTGAAAGATATTTCGCGTGATATGAACATTAATGTTGTATAGCGACCGTTACTTTATTTGTTTTATACATTATCATTTATTATACCTTTCAGGCTAAAAGAGTAAGTTTGTTTTAATTTTTACTTTTTCAAACCAAATGCTACTACAAAGTTTAATACACCTTTTGATGGTTTGTTAAGTTTCACTAATTCATTTTATTCATAATTATTATACGTAAAAAAGTAAACAAAACCATATTAACAGTCAATAAAAAAGTTCAGCTAAAATCATCGTACATACTATTAAAAATTCGCTGTGAGATATTTTGTCTGAGATATTTTGTCTGAGATCAATTGTCCATGGTATCATTTGTCCTGATATATTTTGTCCTGGTATCTTTTGTCCTTGAGATCATTTGTCCTGAGATCATTTGTCCTGAGATCATTTGTCCGTGAGATATTTTGTCTGAGATATTTTGTCTGAGATCATTTGTCCTGAGATCATTTGTCATGGAACCCAATTACTAAATGTAAATTTGTTTCTTCTATGTTCTATCAAAACAATAATTACGTGTTCGTTCTATATACATTGTTCTGTTCATACATTGTAAGCAAATAAAGAATTTCAGAATCTTGCTGCATTGTTGTTTGATCCTGAGTCTGGATACCAAATTTGGCTTGATTATCTCAAACGGTTCAAAAGTTATAGGCAAAGTTAGAAGCAGATATGTGAAAATTGGTTTGGCCCTGGGAGCTCAGGAAATGGGAGAAACTAGGCCAGGGAGGGCCGGGCTCAAAGGGTTAAGTTACTATGGTAAAACTCCATTTTAGCGTATTTTATTCGCCGCTTCTTGTTCGCCTCCAGTTGAGCTTATAATATTTTATTATAAACACAACCGAAACACACAAAAACAGTAGGAAAACATTGGGCTTATTTCTTTATGAAGTTTTAGTTTGAATAATTTACTTTTGTCAAAACTTGAGAAAAATTCCAAATTTGGAATAATGTGTTATGTTTGTGTGACTGTGACAAGATATTCATAGCAATAGGTGAAGTACGAAACTCACAGTTGCAAGGCGGTTACGTTTGTATTGATACAAGTATCTCCCACGCATGCTACTATAAATAAACTTTTATGAACTCAGAATGACCTCAAAACTGAGGCCAACACCATTTCAAATAGCTATAGCCCAAACTATGACGTATGGTGAAGATTAAACTTTTAAAGTCAATATGAACTCACAGTGAACCTTGTAGGGATTTTTCTTCCGCTGACGATCACACCGCTATTTAATTGGAATCGTCCTAATGCTTTTTAATGTTTTTTTTTTACCTTTTCTAATTAAAACTCACTTTCATGAAAAAATAAGTAGATCTAGCTCTAATCCTAGTGTTTTCCTAATGTTTTTTTTTTGTGTGTTTCGGTTGTGTTTAAAATAAAATACGCTTAACTGGAGGTGAATGCGAAGCGGCGAATAAAATACTAAAATGGAGTTTTACAAGTTACTATTATTAGTATTATATTAATTATTATTTATTACAACTTACTAGATCTAACTAAAGTGTGTAACTTAAGTAACTATGAACTAGTCTAGTAGTCCCTAAGACTAAAGTTATAACTAAAGTTTAAGTTAGTAGTACTATAAAGTATAAGTAGTTATACTAATTCATTACTACTTAGATCTACTAGTTTTTAGTTAGGGAGAACAAGAAGGCAGTAGAAAGCTATGTTAACAGTGCCAACAAACAGCTATTTGGGTTAGGGTTAAGAAGGTCTATGTAATGTATGTTAACATGTATTATTAATACTAGTTAATAGAACTAGAAGGACTATGATAATCAAAATGTTAAATGCTAGCCATTGTGATTGATTGTTAGCAGTGCCATCAAACACAGCTATTTGGGTTAGGTTTAGTAGAAGGGCTATAAATAGTATCATTGCCAGCAAACACAGCTATTAGTATTTTAGGGATAATTAGCCTAAAGCTCCTATTTTTTTTTAAACATCTTGAAACTTGCTTTTTGTGAGTTGTCCTTGTAATTACACTTCTATTTATAATTGATGGAGAAACAGCTCTTAAACATTTCATTGTTATCATTTTTTTTTACTATTTTTCCCAAAAAAAAAAAACTTATCCCACAGTTCATCATTTATCTAGAGACTACCAGGTTAATGATATTTTTTGAACAAGTGTCAAAGTAAATGATGTATTTCAAAATGTATTGCTGTTCATGGCACCTATTTTATGTACATTTTTAAATTGCTAACTCATTACTTGATTACTAAGCCATTTTTATTTCCTTTGTTTCTTTAGAAATGGCTGATGAAAGAACAAGGAAAAAGAAGTTTAATTTCTTTGATGAAAATGTAAGTATTGTATATAAACTATAAACCTACTTATTTTAATGCTTTTATTTATCATATAACACACACTTCAGAGACCTTGATATATTTTAATATAAGATCAAATGGTAATGTAATAATGACACTGTGAGAATCTAGTTATGGGTCTTTTGTCAACTTTAAACTTTATAAAACTTATTTTGTCCACATTATCAACTTAAATAATCATTTTACTGTCCACATCAAATTAAATCATCATATTTTTTAAATTGTCAGGCATAATAAAAAAATAAATGAAATTTTTTTCTTTGAGAAAAAAAATATGATTTCTATTATTGGCAAGTCATGCTGCAACATAACAGCAGACATAGTTTTTATGTGGTGGTCTTACTGTCTTCATTGAGAGACAGATTGGAAGTTTCAGTTGGTGATAGATAAAAGTGTCAGTTGATGGGCTGTACTGGTGATTCTGTTGTTGCTAGGTAAACTTTGATGCAGCAAAAAGCATCCAGTTTCATCAGCAAAATGAGAATGATGATGATGATGATGATGACATCGAGACCATTAACTTTGATGATACTCCTGTCATCAAGTACAACAATAGTAGGTAGCTTGTGAGGTCTTGTTTTATGTGTGCTGATCAATTGGTCTATGTGTGCTGATCAATTGGTCTATGTGTGCTGATCAATTGGTCTATGTGTGCTGATCAATTGGTTTTGTTCTATGTGTGCTGATCAATTGGTCTTGTTCTATGTGTGCTGATCAATTGGTCTTGTTCTATGTGTGCTGATCAATTGGTTTTGTTCTATGTGTGCTGATCAATTGGTCTTGTTCTATGTGTGCTGATCAATTGGTCTATGTGTGCTGATCAATTGGTCTTGTTCTGTGTGTGCTGATCAATTGGTTTTGTTCTATGTGTGCTGATCAATTGGTCTTGTTCTATGTGTACTGATCAATTGGTCTTGTTCTGTGTGTGCTGATCAATTGGTCTATGTGTGCTGATCAATTGGTCTTGTTCTATGTGTGCTGATCAATTGGTCTATGTGTGCTGATCAATTGGTCTATGTGTGCTGATCAATTGGTCTTGTTCTGTGTGTGCTGATCAATTGGTCTATGTGTGCTGATCAATTGGTCTATGTGTGCTGATCAATTGGTCTATGTGTGCTGATCAATTGGTCTATGTGTGCTGATCAATTGGTCTATGTGTGCTGATCAATTGGTCTATGTGTGCTGATCAATTGGTCTATGTGTGCTGATCAATTGGTCTTGTTCTGTGTGTGCTGATCAATTGGTCTTGTTCTGTGTGTGCTGATCAATTGGTCTTGTTCTATGTGTGCTGATCAATTGGTCTTGTTCTGTGTGTGCTGATCAATTGGTCTATGTGTGCTGATCAATTGGTCTATGTGTGCTGATCAATTGGTCTATGTGTGCTGATCAATTGGTCTTGTTCTATGTGTGCTGATCAATTGGTCTTGTTCTGTGTGTGCTGATCAATTGGTCTTGTTCTGTGTGTGCTGATCAATTGGTCTTGTTCTGTGTGTGCTGATCAATTGGTCTTGTTCTGTGTGTGCTGATCAATTGGTCTTGTTCTGTGTGTGCTGATCAATTGGTCTTGTTCTGTGTGTGCTGATCAATTGGTCTATGTGTGCTGATCAATTGGTCTTGTTCTGTGTGTGCTGATCAATTGGTCTATGTGTGCTGATCAATAGTTCTGTGTGTGCTGATCAATTGGTCTATGTGTGCTGATCAATTGGTCTTGTTCTGTGTGTGCTGATCAATTGGTCTTGTTCTGTGTGTGCTGATCAATTGGTCTTGTTCGATGTGTGCTGATCAATTGGTCTATGTGTGCTGATCAATTGGTCTTGTTCTATGTGTGCTGATCAATTGGTCTTGTTCTGTGTGTGCTGATCAATTGGTCTTGTTCTGTGTGTGCTGATCAATTGGTCTTGTTCTGTGTGTGCTGATCAATTGGTCTTGTTCTGTGTGTGCTGATCAATTGGTTTATGTGTGCTGATCAATTGGTCTTGTTCGATGTGTGCTGATCAATTGGTCTATGTGTGCTGATCAATTGGTCTATGTGTGCTGATCAATTGGTCTTGTTCTATGTGTGCTGATCAATTGGTCTATGTGTGCTGATCAATTGGTCTTGTTCTGTGTGTGCTGATCAATTGGTCTTGTTCTGTGTGTGCTGATCAATTGGTCTTGTTCTATGTGTGCTGATCAATTGGTCTTGTTCTATGTGCACTGTTTTATTGTTTTATTGTACTGGTTGAGTGTATATTAGAGCTAAATATCCACCATTAAAACTTTTTAAAACCCAATTGAAATCAGTTGTTTCCTTGTTGATGTATTTTTAAAACCACATTTTTTAATAAATTCTTGAGCTTAGATCTTTAAATGAAACTATACCAACCACCTACTGTACACTGTCCTGGTGTTCCCGTTGTGTCCAACCTACCCAAATGTGTGTCAAACCTACCCAAATGTGTGTCCAACCTACCCAAATGTGTGTCCAACCTACCCACTGTGTCCAACCTACCCACTGTGTCCAACCTACCCACTGTGTCCAACCTACCCAATGTGTCCAACCTACCCACTGTGTCCAACCTACCCACTGTGTCCAACCTACCCACTGTGTCCAACCTACCCACTGTGTCCAACCTACCCACTGTGTCCAACCTACCCACTGTGTCCAACCTACCCACTGTGTCCAACCTACCCAAATGTGTGTCCAACCTACCCACTGTGTCCAACCTACCCACTGTGTCCAACCTACCCACTGTGTCCAACCTACCCACTGTGTCCAACCTACCCACTGTGTCCAACCTACCCACTGTGTCCAACCTACCCACTGTGTCCAACCTACCCAATGTGTCCAACCTACCCACTGTGTCCAACCTACCCACTGTCCAACCTACCCACTGTGTCCAACCTACCCACTGTGTCCAACCTACCCAAATGTGTGTCCAACCTACCCACTGTGTCCAACCTACCCACTGTCCAACCTACCCACTGTGTCCAACCTACCCACTGTGTCCAACCTACCCACTGTGTCCAACCTACCCACTGTCCAACCTACCCACTGTGTCCAACCTACCCACTGTCCGACCTACCCACTGTGTCCAACCTACCCACTGTGTCCAACCTACCCAAATGTGTGTCCAACCTACCCAAATGTGTGTCCAACCTACCCACTGTGTCCAACCTACCCACTGTGTCCAACCTACCCACTGTGTCCAACCTACCCACTGTGTCCAACCTACCCACTGTCCAACCTACCCACTGTGTCCAACCTACCCACTGTGTCCAACCTACCCATTGTGTCCAACCTACCCACTGTGTCCAACCTACCCACTGTGTCCAACCTACCCACTGTGTCCAACCTACCCACTGTGTCCAACCTACCCATTGTGTCCAACCTACCCACTGTCCAACCTACCCACTGTGTCCAACCTACCCACTGTGTCCAACCTACCCACTGTGTCCAACCTACCCACTGTGTCCAACCTACCCACTGTGTCCAACCTACCCACTGTCCAACCTACCCACTGTGTCCAACCTACCCACTGTGTCCAACCTACCCACTGTGTCCAACCTACCCAATGTGTCCAACCTACCCACTGTGTCCAACCTACCCACTGTGTCCAACCTACCCACTGTGTCCAACCTACCCACTGTGTCCAACCTACCCACTGTGTCCAACCTACCCACTGTGTCCAACCTACCCACTGTGTCCAACCTACCCAAATGTGTGTCCAACCTACCCACTGTGTCCAACCTACCCACTGTGTCCAACCTACCCACTGTGTCCAACCTACCCACTGTGTCCAACCTACCCAATGTGTCCAACCTACCCACTGTGTCCAACCTACCCACTGTGTCCAACCTACCCACTGTGTCCAACCTACCCAATGTGTCCAACCTACCCACTGTGTCCAACCTACCCACTGTCCAACCTACCCACTGTGTCCAACCTACCCACTGTGTCCAACCTACCCAAATGTGTGTCCAACCTACCCCCTGTGTCCAACCTACCCACTGTCCAACCTACCCACTGTGTCCAACCTACCCACTGTGTCCAACCTACCCACTGTGTCCAACCTACCCACTGTGTCCAACCTACCCACTGTGTCCAACCTACCCACTGTCCAACCTACCCACTGTGTCCAACCTACCCACTGTGTCCAACCTACCCAAATGTGTGTCCAACCTACCCAAATGTGTGTCCAACCTACCCACTGTGTCCAACCTACCCACTGTGTCCAACCTACCCACTGTGTCCAACCTACCCACTGTGTCCAACCTACCCACTGTGTCCAACCTACCCACTGTCCAACCTACCCACTGTGTCCAACCTACCCACTGTGTCCAACCTACCCATTGTGTCCAACCTACCCACTGTGTCCAACCTACCCACTGTGTCCAACCTACCCACTGTGTCCAACCTACCCATTGTGTCCAACCTACCCACTGTCCAACCTACCCACTGTGTCCAACCTACCCACTGTGTCCAACCTACCCACTGTGTCCAACCTACCCACTGTGTCCAACCTACCCACTGTGTCCAACCTACCCACTGTCCAACCTACCCACTGTGTCCAACCTACCCACTGTGTCCAACCTACCCACTGTGTCCAACCTACCCACTGTGTCCAACCTACCCACTGTATCCAACCTACCCACTGTCCAACCTACCCACTGTGTCCAACCTACCCACTGTCCAACCTACCCACTGTGTCCAACCTACCCACTGTCCAACCTACCCACTGTGTCCAACCTACCCACTGTGTCCAACCTACCCACTGTGTCCAACCTACCCAATGTGTCCAACCTACCCAATGTGTCCAACCTACCCAATGTGTCCAACCTACCCACTGTCCAACCTACCCACTGTCCAACCTACCCACTGTGTCCAACCTACCCAATGTGTCCAACCTACCCACTGTGTCCAACCTACCCAATGTGTCCAACCTACCCAATGTGTCCAACCTACCCAATGTGTCCAACCTACCCACTGTCCAACCTACCCACTGTCCAACCTACCCACTGTCCAACCTACCCACTGTGTCCAACCTACCCAAATGTGTGTCCAACCTACCCAATGTGTCCAACCTATCCACTGTGTCCAACCTACCCACTGTGTCCAACCTACCCACTGTGTCCAACCTACCCACTGTGTCCAACCTACCCACTGTGTCCAACCTACCCACTGTGTCCAACCTACCCACTGTGTCCAACCTACCCAAATGTGTGTCCAACCTATCCACTGTGTCCAACCTACCCACTGTGTCCAACCTACCCACTGTGTCCAACCTACCCAATGTGTCCAACCTATCCACTGTGTCCAACCTACCCAATGTGTCCAACCTACCCACTGTGTCCAACCTACCCAAATGTGTGTCCAACCTACCCAAATGTGTGTCCAACCTACCCAAATGTGTGTCCAACCTACCCACTGTGTCCAACCTATCCACTGTGTCCAACCTATCCACTGTGTCCAACCTACCCACTGTGTCCAACCTATCCACTGTGTCCAACCTACCCACTGTGTCCAACCTATCCACTGTGTCCAACCTATCCACTGTGTCCAACCTACCCACTGTGTCCAACCTATCCACTGTGTCCAACCTACCCATTGTGTCCAACCTACCCACTGTGTCCAACCTACCCACTGTGTCCAACCTACCCACTGTGTCCAACCTACCCACTGTGTCCAACCTACCCACTGTGTCCAACCTACCCACTGTGTCCAACCTACCCTTGCCTAACCCAGAGCCTGGAGGTGAGCCAATGCCAGACCTGTCCCTGCTAGCCACACCAGCCAACAGCACGTTGTCCAGAACTATGTCCGCAGGCAGTGATGGACCCAGGAAGAGTTCAGTGGCTTACGGGAATGTTAGTAGCGCCATGGCATTGAGCCATAGCAGATCTCACAGTCTGACTATAGGTAAGAGAAACTCTGGCTAGCAGATCTCACTATAGGTAAGAGAAACTCTGGGTAGCAGATCTCACAGTCTGACTGTAGGTAAGAGAAACTCTGGGTAGCAGATCTCACTGTAGGTAAGAGAAACTCTGGCTATCAGATCTCACTATAGGTAAGAGAAACTCTGGCTAGCAGATCTCACTATAGGTAAGATGAACTCTGGGTAGCAGATCTCACTATAGGTAAGAGAAACTCTGGGTAGCAGATCTCACTATAGGTAAGAGAAACTCTGGGTAGCAGATCTCACTGTAGGTAAGAGAAACTCTGGCTAGCAGATCTCACTATAGGTAAGAGAAACTCTGGGTAGCAGATCTCACAGTCTGACTGTAGGTAAGAGAAACTCTGGGTAGCAGATCTCACTGTAGGTAAGAGAAACTCTGGCTATCAGATCTCACTATAGGTAAGAGAAACTCTGGCTAGCAGATCTCACTATAGGTAAGATGAACTCTGGGTAGCAGATCTCACTATAGGTAAGAGAAACTCTGGGTAGCAGATCTCACTATAGGTAAGAGAAACTCTGGGTAGCAGATCTCACTGTAGGTAAGAGAAACTCTGGCTAGCAGATCTCACTATAGGTAAGAGAAACTCTGGGTAGCAGATCTCACTATAAGTAAAATGAACTCTGGGTAGCAGATCTCACTATAGATAAGATGAACTCTGGGTAGCAGATCTCACTATAGGTAAGATAAATCCTGGCTTACCTTTTTTCTCCCTCCACCTTCCATTTAATACAAACTGAGCATTGAGAAATGTGTGATACAAACTTAGCCTTGAGAAATGTGTGATACAAACTTAGCATTGAGAAATGTGTGATACAAACTTAGCATTGAGAAATGTGTGATACAAACTTAGCATTGAGAAATGTGTGATACAAACTTAGCATTGAGAAATGTGTGATACAAACTTAGCATTGAGAAATGTGTGATACAAACTTAGCATTGAGAAATGTGTGATACAAACTTAGCATTGAGAAATGTGTGATACAAACTTAGCATTGAGAAATGTGTGATACAAACTTAGCATTGAGAAATGTGTGATACAAACTTAGCCTTGAGAAATGTGTGATACAAACTTAGCCTTGAGAAATGTGTGATACAAACTTAGCCTTGAGAAATGTGTGATACAAACTTAGCATTGAGAAATGTGTGATACAAACTTAGCCTTGAGAAATGTGTGATACAAACTTAGCATTGAGAAATGTGTGATACAAACTTAGCATTGAGAAATGTGTGATACAAACTTAGCATTGAGAAATGTGTGATACAAACTTAGCCTTGAGAAATGTGTGATACAAACTTAGCATTGAGAAATGTGTGATACAAACTTAGCATTGAGAAATGTGTGATACAAACTTAGCCTTGAGAAATGTGTGATACAAACTTAGCCTTGAGAAATGTGTGATACAAACTTAGCATTGAGAAATGTGTGATACAAACTTAGCCTTGAGAAATGTGTGATACAAACTTAGCCTTGAGAAATGTGTGATACAAACTTAGCCTTGAGAAATGTGTTTGATACCAATGTAACCCTGTCTTCAGGTCATCAAGAACTGCCCACAACAAAGGCTACTTTACATACATCAGTGACCAGCAGCTTTGGTAGTGAGAAAGGTTTGTGAAAATGTCACTAGATTAAATCAGGCAGATGTGGATACGTCAAAAAATTTCTATCTGGAGTAAACTTTGGGTGCTTGAGATTTTTTCTCCTAAAACATTTCTATCTGAAGTAAACTTTGGGTGCTAGAGAATTTTTCTCCTAAAACATTTCTATCTGGAGTAAACTTTGGGTGCTAGAGAATTTTTCTCCTAAAACATTTCTATCTGGAGTAAACTTTGGGTGCTTGAGAATTTTTCTCCTAAAACATTTCTATCTGAAGTAAACTTAGGGTCCTTGAGAATTTTTCTCCTAAAATAGTCAAGTAAGCCATTACAAAGTTGTATTTTTTAAAATTTCAGATCAAAGTTTAACTAGCTCCAACTTGTCATTAACAAACAGTGTGGACATTGAAGAGGGTAGGTTGTATGATTGTAGGTTGTATGATTGTGTGGACATTGAAGAGGGTAGGTTGTATGATTGTGTGGACATTGAAGAGGGTAGGTTGTATGTTTGTAGGTTGTATGATTGTGTGGACATTGAAGAGGGTAGGTTGTATGATTGTGTGGACATTGAAGAGGGTAGGTTGTATGATTGTAGGTTGTATGATTGTGTGGACATTGAAGAGGGTAGGTTGTATGATTGTAGGTTGTATGATTGTGTGGACATTGAAGAGGTTAGGTTGTATGATTGTGTGGACATTGAAGAGGGTAGGTTGTATGATTGTAGGTTGTATGATTGTGTGGACATTGAAGAGGGTAGGTTGTATGATTGTAGGTTGTATGATTGTAGGTTGTATGATTGTGTGGACATCAAACATTTGTATTTGACTGAAATGACCTTCAGTCCTGACCAGTGTGTTTTGACGATGTAAAACTGTCAGTCGATGTAAAAATGTCAGTCGATGTAAAAATGTCAGTCAACGTAAAAATGTCAGTCAACGTAAAAATGTCAGTCGATGTAAAAATGTCAGTCAAGCTTTGTTCGTTCTTCCATGGCTGGAGAGTGACTTCTTCACCTGAGTCTTGTAACACATTGGTGTTAACCCTTTATTGACCCATTGGTTTTAATCTTTTCAATAAAATATTTGCTTTAACCCTTTAGCGACACATTGGTTTTAATCTTTTCAATAAAATATTTGCTTTAACCCTTTATTGACCCATTGGTTTTAATCTTTTTAATAAAATATTTGCTTTAACCCTTTAGTGACAGGAAGTGGATCAAAAAAATTGCCATCTGCTGCTGAAATAGAAAGAATGCAACAGGAGATTCAGTCTTTAAAGCGGTCACTTTTGGTGAGGTTTTTACAGTAGATCAGTTGTATTAGCTTACACAAAAACAAGATTTTACAGTAGATCAATTGTATTAGCTTACACAAAAACAAGATTTTACAGTAGATCAATTGTATTAGCTTACACAAAAACATGATTTTACAGTAGAACAATTGTATTAGCTTACACAAAAACAAGATTTTACAGTAGATCAATTGTGTCAAAAACAAGATTTGACAGTAGGCTTTAGAAGCTGATGTACTCTGTTTACTTGTAGAGTGCCAAGAAAGACAGATGGATGAAGCTGCCTATAGAAGACACACTATGGAGAATAAGGAAGGGGGAGGTTAGTCTACTTACCCATAGTTTTGTTAGTTTCACAATGTCCGAGGTTTCAAAGTCCATCTGCTTGTTGCAAGTCATTAGCCTCAGTTTTGTATCAAACAAGTCATTACCTCAGCCTTATATCAAACAAGTCATTACCTCAGCCTTATATCAAACAAGTCAGCCAGTATCTGTGTGAGATCTGTACCCTTTAGGACCTTGTGCTTCATATCACAGATGCAGTAAACTTCATCTGTCTCTGTGAAGGGACAGTGTGGTCAGTACTTTGCCCATCTGTCTCTGTGGCTCATGAAGGGACAGTGTGGTCAGTACTTTGCCCATCTGTCTCTGTGGCTCATGAAGGGACAGTGTGGTCAGTACTTTGCCCATCTGTCTCTGTGGCTTCAGCTCATGAAGGGACAGTGTGGTCAGTACTTTGCCCATCTGTCTCTGTGGCTCATGAAGGGACCTCCTGACCTCCTGCTTATCAGTCTTGTACTCTACCATCTGCCCACACCATCCCATCAGCATCTGCCCACACCAACCCATCAGCATCTGCCCACACCAACCCATCAGCATCTGCCCACACCAACCCATCAGCATCTGCCCACACCATCAGCATCTGCCCACACCATCCCATCAGCATCTGCCCACACCAACCCATCACCATCTGCCCACACCATCCCATCACCATCTGCCCACACCATCCCATCACCATCTGCCCACACCATCCCATCACCATCTGCCCACACCAACCCATCACCATCTGCCCACACCATCCCATCAGCATCTACCCACACCATCCCATCACCATCTGCCCACACCAACCCATCACCATCTGCCCACACCATCCCATCAGCATCTGCCCACACCATCCCATCACCATCTGCCCACACCAACCCATCAGCTTCTGTCCACACCATCCCATCAGCATCTGCCCACACCATCCCATCAGCATCTGCCCACACCATCCCATCAGCATCTGCCCACACCATCCCATCAGCATCTGCCCACACCATCCCATCAGCATCTGCCCACACCATCCCATCACCATCTGCCCACACCATCCCATCAGCATCTGTGTGTTGCAGGAATTTTCCCTGGAGATGTACAAGTCACTGGAAGACAAACTAGAGCTCCTGGATAAAGCCATCAAAGTGCATGATGGGAACGCCATAACTGCTGTAAGTATTCTAGGGACTGGAACATTCCATTGATGGCAACACCATAACTGCTGTAAGTATTCTAGGGACTGGAACATTCCATTGATGGCAACACCATAACTGCTGTAAGTATTCTAGGGACTGGAACATTCCATTGATGGCAACACCATAACTGCTGTAAGTATTCTAGGGACTGGAACATTCCATTGATGGCAACACCATAACTGCTGTAAGTATTCTAGGGACTGGCACATTCCATTGATGGCAATACCATAACTGCTGTAAGTATTCTAGGGACTGGAACATTCCATTGATGGCAACGCCATAACTGCTGTAAGTATTCTAGGGACTGGAACATTCCATTGATGGCAACGCCATAACTGCTGTAAGTATTCTAGGGACTGGAACATTCCATGATGGCAATACCATAACTGCTGTAAGTATTCTAGGGACTGGAACATTCCATTGATGGCAACACCATAACTGCTGTAAGTATTCTAGGGACTGGAACATTCCATTGATGGGAACGCCATAACTGCTGTAAGTATTCTAGGGACTGGAACATTCCATTGATGGCAACACCATAACACCATAGCACATTGTTTTTCTTATTCATGTATAAGCTGTTTTATTTTTTTATAGCAAATTGTTTTTCTCATCCATGTGTAGTCTGTTTTATCTTTTTATAGCAAATTGTTTTTCTCATCCATGTGTAGGCTGTTTTATTTTTTTTATAGCAAATTGTTTTTCTCATCCATGTGTAGGCTGTTTTATTTTTTTATAGCAAATTGTTTTTCTCATCCATGTGTAGTCTGTTTTATCTTTTTATAGCAAATTGTTTTTCTCATCCATGTGTAGGCTGTTTTATTTTTTTTATAGCAAATTGTTTTTCTCATCCATGTGTAGGCTGTTTTATTTTTTTATAGCAAATTGTTTTTCTCATCCATGTGTAGGCTGTTTTATTTTTTTTATAGCAAATTGTTTTTCTCATCCATGTGTAGTCTGTTTTATTTTTTTATAGCAAATTGTTTTTCTCATCCATGTGTAGGCTGTTTTATTTTTTTTATAGCAAATTGTTTTTCTCATCCATGTGTAGTCTGTTTTATTTTTTTATAGCAAATTGTTTTTCTCATCCATGTGTAGGCTGTTTTGTTTTTTTATAGGGAATTGTTTTTCTCATCCATGATTAGGCTGTTTTATTTTTTTTATAGCAAATAGTTTTTCTCATCCATGTGTAGGCTGTTTTATTTTTTTATAGCAAATTGTTTTTCTCATCCATGTGTAGTCTGTTTTATCTTTTTATAGCAAATTGTTTTTCTCATCCATGTGTAGGCTGTTTTATTTTTGAAGCGTTCTGTGACACAGCAGATATTTAGGCAGGTGATTCGAGACAGACCTGCGGCTGCCAACCATTATTTGAAGTACCTCAAGTCACATTTTGACTATGGAGAGTTCATCAGCACTTTAGTGTGAGTTGTGTGTGAGTTGTGTTGTGTGTGAGTTGTGTTGTGTGTGAGTTGTGTTGTGTGTGAGTTGTGTGTGAGTTGTGTTGTGTGTGAGTTGTGTGTGAGTTGTGTTGTGTGTGAGTTGTGTTGTGTGTGAGTTGTGTTGTGTGTGAGTTGTGTTGTGTGTGAGTTGTGTTGTGTGTGAATTGTGTTGTGTGTGAGTTGTGTTGTGTGTGAGTTGTGTTGTGCCCTTTAGTGTGAGTGAGCATTGGCTGCCATTAAACATCTGCCAATGAAAGATGGGTTACAGTAATGACTAAATGAATTGCTGGCAGTGAAAGATGGGTTACAGTAATGACTAAATGAATTGCTGGCAGTGAAAGATGGGTTACAGTAATGACTAAATGAATTGCTGCCAATAAAAGATAGGTTAATGGAAGTTTTATCTTATCCTGCAGGATGTTGGGCAGAAAAGAAGAGGCCGCTGTAAGTTTTAGTCATGGAAAATTATTTCAAGAAAATGGTTTGATTGGGTCAATAGTTTAAAGAAAATTATTTAAAGTAAATGGTTTGATTGGGTCAATAGTTTAATTAAACATTAATTACATTAAATTATTGAAAGAAAATGGTTTGATTGTGTCAATAGTTTAAAGAAAATTATTTAAAGAAAATGGTTTGATTGGGTCAATAGTTTAATTAAACATTAATTAAATTAAATTATTGAAAGAAAATGGTTTGATTGGGTCAATAGTTTAAAGAAAATTATTTAAAGAAAATGGTTTGATTGGGTCAATAGTTTAATTAAACATTAATTAAATTAAATTATTGAAAGAAAATGGTTTGATTGGGTCAATAGTTTAATTAAACATTAATTAAATTAAATTATTGAAAGAAAATGGTTTGATTGTGTCAATAGTTTAATTAAACATTAATTAAATGATGGCATCTTCTGTGACCAGCTAGTTTTTTCTTGAAGTTGATATTTGTAAACTGGTGGATTTCTTTCTAGATGTATGCATTCAAATTTTCCTTGACGACCACAGATATAGGGTTAAAGATAGCAAAACTAAAAGAATGTTTAAGGTAACACAAATATATTTTTACCATGCCTAAATGATATTTAATATCCCAATTCTCTTACAACAAACTAAAAAAAAATTTATTTTTAAAAAGGCAAATGAAGAGCATACAAAAGTTATTTCTGTAGAATCTTATGTTGGTTAACTGTAGAATCTTATGTTGGTTAACTGTAGAATCTTATGTTGGTTAACTGTAGAATCTTATGTTGGTTAACTGTAGAATCTTATGTTGGTTAACTGTAGAATCTTATGTTGGTTAACTGTAGAATCTTATGTTGGTTACCTGCCTCAAACAAAACTAGCATTTTTTCTCTAGGGAACACTTCAGTAATGAGCCTGCTCTACAGGCTGATGCTAATTTGGTTAAGGAGTATATAGATCTTCTTGAACGTCAGCGACCAATCGAAGTAAGTGGACCAAACTAATTGTCAGCCAATGTTATATTTGTCATATACTTGTAACTGAAAGCAAAAGTCTGTGTCCATCCAATGAAAAGTGTTGTTTGACTAAAGTCTGTGTCCATCCAATGAAAAGTGTTGTTGTTGACTAAAGTCTGTGTCCATCCAATGAAAAGTGTTGTTGTTTGGCAGGAGTTTGATGCCTCAACTGAAGCTGCTGGACGTTCCACCCTGTTCAAAGATTTCCCGAGGAAGAGATCTCTGCTGGACATGCCTGTTGTCACTACTTTATACTACTGCTGCCTCTATCATTTTGACTTAGCTGAGGTATACCCATATTTTAGGTGTCATCAACAAATAATGTCTGAGGTATACCCATATTTTAGGTGTCATCAACAAATAATGTCTGAGGTATACCCATATTTTAGGTGTCATCAACAAATGATGTTTGACACATGTGTTGTCTAGGCCCAGCGTAGGCGTAGTGAGGGGGGTGCGGGCCACATCAGATGACACCATTAAGGGGGGTGACACCAAGGCAAAAAATTGCAAAATTTACAGAAGAAATTTTTTTTTTGCCTGTCCCATTAATAATTAATTAAAGTTAAATAGTCTTTTAAGTACAAATCGACATTTATAACAAGGGGGTGGGGGTGACACCATGACATAAATTATTCCAACTGTAGAGAAAAAAATTCTACATCTAAACTATATTATTAACATACTATAGATAAACATCATTACTATTATGTCTGCAGCAATTAGAGCTTAACATACATGTACTCGTATGTGGCATACATATTTAAATTATAATCCAATGTAGCACATTACATGCACTAGGCCCAGCACATTATGTGGTCTAGGCCCAGCACATTATGTGGTCTAGGCCCAGCACATTATGTGGTCTAGGCCCAGCACATTATGTGGTCTAGGCCCAGCATATTATGTGGTCTAGGCCCAGCACATTATGTGGTCTAGGTCCAGCACATTGCATGGTCTAGGCCCAGCACATTACATGGTCTAGGCCCAGCACATTATGTGGTCTAGGCCCAGCACATTATGTGGTCTAGGCCCAGCACATTACATGGTCTAGGCCCAGCACATTACATGGTCTAGGCCCAGCACATTATGTGGTCTAGGCACAGCACATAACATGCACTAGGCCCAGCACATTATGTGGTCTAGGCCCAGCATATTATGTGGTCTAGGCCCAGCACATTATGTGGTCTAGGCCCAGCACATTACATGGTCTAGGCCCAGCATATTATGTGGTCTAGGTCCAGCACATTACATGCACTAGGCACAGCACATTATGTGGTCTAGGCCCAGCACATTATGTGGTCTAGGCCCAGCACATTACATGCACTAGACCCAGCACATTATGTGGTCTAGGCCCAGCACATTATGTGGTCTAGGCCCAGCACATTATGTGGTCTAGGCCCAGCACATTATGTGGTCTAGGCCCAGCACATTACATGCACTAGGCCCAGCACTTTACATACACTAGGCACAGCACATTACATGGTCTAGGCCCAGCACATTATGTGGTCTAGGCCCAGCACATTACATGCACTAGGCCCAGCACTTTACATACACTAGGCACAGCACATTACATGGTCTAGGCCCAGCACATTATGTGGTCTAGGCCCAGCACATTACATGCACTAGGCCCAGCACTTTACATACACTAGGCACAGCACATTACATGTTCTAGGCCCAGCACATTACATGGTCTAGGCCCAGCACATTATGTGGTCTAGGCCCAGCACATTACATGCACTAGGCACAGCACATTACATGCACTAGGCACAGCACATTATGTGGTCTAGGCCCAGCACATTATGTGGTCTAGGCCCAGCACATTACATGCACTAGGCACAGCACATTATGTGGTCTAGGCCCAGCACATTATGTGGTCTAGGCCCAGCACATTACATGCACTAGGCACAGCACATTATGTGGTCTAGGCCCAGCACATTATGTGGTCTAGGCCCACCAAGTTTTGTGGATCTCAGATTTCTATTTCCTGTAAGACTTGTGCAATTTTTGTGCTTTTTTTTTCCCTTTAGAATGCATTTGCAAGTCCTGTGGCACTAAAGAAAAGACATGAGGTGACTAGCAGTGTTTTATTTAGCCGTCAATGTATATCATTGTTTTATTGTAAGACAGACATGTCAACATTTTATTGTAAGACAGACATGTCAACATTTTATTGTAAGACAGACATTTCAATGTTGTCTTCAGACATGTCAATGTTTTATTGTAAGATATGTAATTATATTTTGTATTGTAATGGTAAGGTGTAATTTTTGAAAGTGATAGAATATTAAACAAATTCATGGAGTTTTATAATTTTTGAAAGTGATAGAATGTTAAACAAATTCATGGAGTTTTATAATTTTTGAAAGTGATAGAATGTTAAACAAATTCATGGAGTTTTCTTTTAAAAAACTGTTAGAATAGGGTAATGCTCCATGGAATGTATGCCTATTGGGTCAAGTTTTTAAGTTTTGATCGACAATCAGTTTTGCCTTCAGATTTGCCTAAAGGTTTGCTTTGCCTTCAGATTTGCCTAAAGGTTGGCTTTGCATTCAGATTTGCCTAAAGGTTGGCTTTGCCTTCAGCTTTGCCTCAAGGTTGGCTTTGCCTTTAGATTTGCCTAAAGGTTGGCTTTGCCTTCAGATTTGCCTAAAGGTTGGCTTTGCCTTCAGCTTTGCCTCAAGGTTGGCTTTGCCTTTAGATTTGCCTAAAGGTTGGCTTTGCCTTCAGATTTTCCTAAAGGTTGGCTTTGCCTTCAGATTTGCCTAAAGGTTGGCTTTGCCTTCAGATTTGCCTAAAGGTTGGCTTTGCCTTCAGCTTTGCCTCAAGGTTGGCTTTGCCTTTAGATTTGCCTAAAGGTTGGCTTTGCCTTCAGATTTTCCTAAAGGTTGGCTTTGCCTTCAGATTTGCCTAAAGGTTGTTTTTGCCTTCAGATTTGCCTAAAGGTTGGCTTTGCCTTCAGATTTGCCTAAAGGTTGTTTTTGCCTTCAGATTTGCCTAAAGGTTGGCTTTGCCTTCAGATTTTCCTAAAGGTTGGCTTTGCCTTCAGATTTTCCTAAAGGTTGGCTTTGCCTTCAGATTTGCCTAAAGGTTGGCTTTGCCTTCAGATTTGCCTAAAGGTTGGCTTTGCCTTCAGCTTTGCCTAAAGGTTGGCTGTGCCTTCAGATTTGCCTAAATTCGCTTTGCCTTCAGATTTGCCTAAAGATTGGCTTTGCCTTCAGATTTGCCTAAAGATTTGCATTGCCTTCAGATTTCAGATAAACAGTTTACTTGGACAGCCATATCAGCTCGGGCGAAGTTACGTCAATGGAAAGATGTTGAGGCCCTTTTAACAACTAAAGTAAGATCGACTCTTTGTATGTGGAGATATATTCTTTTGTATGTGTCTGTGCTAGATATATTCTTTTGTATGTGTCTGTGCTAGATATATGTAAATGTATATCGTTGGAATTGTGGCTAGAATCCTTGTTTTGTTCCAGGGTTGGTTTGGTGGGCCTAAGATGAAAGCCATCATAGGATTTGACAAAGTGATAGACATTTTACACAGGAACTCTTCTCCCCCTGAGGTAAGAACTGACTTTATCATTTTAGCTTGTTCTGACATCATTCTTGTTTGTTACTAAATTGTAATCTTTTATTTTTTCTTCTTTGCTCAAGTGACTCAAACTTTAAAATGTTGTCAGGTTTTTGAAAAGTATTTGTCCATGATTGACGACCTTGAAATGCGACTAAGTCTGGCAAAGAAAGTGAAGTGTAACAGAGCAGTAGTTGATGTAAGTCAAAGAAAGTGAAGTAGTGTAACAGAACAGTAGTTGATGTAAGTCAAAGAAAGTGAAGTGTAACAGAGCAGTAGTTGATGTAAGTCAAAGAAAGTGAAGTGTAACAGAGCAGTAGTTGATGTAAGTCAAAGAAAGTGAAGTAGTGTAACAGAACAGTAGTTGATGTAAGTCAAAGAAAGTGAAGTGTAACAGAGCAGTAGTTGATGTAAGTCAAAGAAAGTGAAGTGCAACAGAGCAGTAGTTGATGTAAGTCAGATCTTGTTCCATGGCAGCTTTCTAGTGACATATTCCCATAATTTAAATGACACCCATATTTAATATCTTTCCATAATTCAAATGACACCCATATTTAATATTCCCATAATTCAAATGACACCCATGTTTAACATATTCCATAATTCAAATGACACCCATATTTAACATATGTCCATAATTCAAATGACACCCATATTTAACATATGTCCATAATTCAAATGACACCCATATTTAACATATGTCCATAATTCAAATGACACCCATATTTAAAATCTTTCCATAATTCAAATGACACCCATATTTAACATATTCCATAATTCAAATGACACCCATATTTAACATATGTCCATAATTCAAATGACACCCTTATTTAACATCTTTCCAAAATTCAAATGACCCCCATAATGACCATATGAGCAGACTTTGATTGCCCTGAAGAAGCGGACAGAGCTTGAAGAGTTCAGCAAACATCTAGACAGATATTCCAAAGACGGTCTTTATGCACATGATGCCTTAAACAGCTCAGTAAGTTTTACTGCTGTTAGTGTCAGTATTTTGTCTCAGACATTCTCTGCTGTTAGTGTCAGTATTTTGTCTCAGACATTCTCTGCTGTTAGTGTCAGACATTCTCTGCTGTTAGTGTCAGTATTTTGTCTCAGACATTCTCTGCTGTTAGTGTCAGTATTTTGTCTCAGACATTCTCTGCTGTTAGTGTCAGTATTTTGTCTCAGACATTCTCTGCTGTTAGTGTCGTGTTTGATTAATTCACACCAACATTTTTTTCAGACCATCAGGTGGAAGTAAGCGCCAGCGCCATGGGACTGCTTAAATCCTCATTAAATTCACATTTTGTAGCTGAGCTCCATATGTACATTACTATCAGTGAAGGCCTGTAGCATTCCAAATACTATCTGAAGATGTTGTATAGATTCAGCTGATGATGTCAATGTAAATATTGTTTTCTTTACTTTCTCTGCCTCCCACTTTTCTCTTCCCTTCTCCTTTCTTCTCTTTATGTGATAAAACACGTATGCTTGCAGCATTTAAGACGCATTGTTTGTTTGCATAATGTATATACAACTGTCTTGTGTACTTTCCTACCAGATGTTATTGTGCCATGTACTCTTCAAATAAAAAAGTTCATCACATTTCAATTGCTTCAATTTATTCAAATAAAAAATGATAAAAGTTGATTTCCATAAAAAATATTTGATGACATTACATAGTCTGGTCCAGCAAGGTAACACAGGTAAATCAAGTTTTGCCAGCTACAATACATGTTGAATGGATGTCACACTAACAAGAGCAATAAGTCAATACCAGATCTATCAAAACACTAAACACATTGATTAAATGGCTGCTAATACATGAATAGTGACACATCAAAACTAGTTTAACATTAGTTAGGGAAAACAATTGCTTGCATTGCATAGTTTCTTTTACAGATCTAATGTTAAGCTCCAATTCTATACAGGACATAAGTACATTTCCAATGTTATTCAGACTTCCCTACTTTTCCAATGTTATACAACATTTAGTGCTAATGAATTCATGTGTGCAATAGCTTTAGAAGGTCCAACAAAAAACAGCATGGAAATATTTCCCATATAAATGTACATCATTGAGTTGCATAGATGAGCAGAGAGAAAGTTCTCAAGTCATCAAAGAGATCAGATCCTTGGCACATTTGTTCAACACAAAATTTGACATGTGACATACACTACACTTGTAATATGTCACTAAAGTGATTGTCACATTACAAATAGTCACAGTGAAAAAAAAATTCAGTTTGTTACCAAAGAAATTTGGTGTGATTATCACAATAAAAAATTCACAGTTTGACTGTCACATCAATCAAATTCACAAGCTGTCACATATAAAAAAATTCATAATCTGACAGTCACATAAAAAAATTCAGCTTGATTGTCACAGCAAACAATTCAGTTACTGACCATCATATTAAAAATATCAACAAAACTGTCACAATAAACAATTCAGTTACTGACCATCATATTAAAAATAACAAAACTGTCACAACAAACAATTCAGTTACTGACCATCATATTAAAAATAACAAAACTGTCACAATAAACAATTCAGTTACTGACCATCATATTAAAAATAACAAAACTGTCACAGCAAACAATTCAGTCTGTCACAAGGTTACCAACAAAAAAAATTGTCTTTATTAAATACCCCCCCCCCCCCCCCCCCAGTATACATTATCTTAAGACACTACCATATACATGCCTATTAATTCCTGTACACATGTGGAATGTACTTTTCAGTATAAATTAATTCTACAGTAACCAATCCTACAAGTGAAACTAAAAGCAGAAGAAAAAAAAAACCAATGAAAACATTTAAAATTCAAACAAGCACAGATGATCACATCTGGAATCACATGAGTTTAGGAATGTGGACTTTAAAATATCAGATCTATTTGACTTCCAAGGAGCAACGCTCTAATCAACATTTAATAACAAACTAAACGCTGCCATTGGTAAGTAAGGATAGTAAACACAGTGGGGTAGGACTACAAGATGGTCATCTTTTGGATTTCTAGAGGGGGAAACATGTCAACAGTCGGAATATTCATTCAAATAGTTCCACATAAATCATCGTCAGGCAGAATACAAAAGGGCATAAGTACACTTTGCATTTTAAAAATGAGTTATGCCCCTTTTTAAATTCACCTTCACAAGTACAAGCTATACATTCAATTTTTTAAATCTGCAAGAGTCTAAGTCATGTCAAATGAACAATCAATTTTCCATACTTTGGCAAAAAGGCTTCAGTGAAATTGACAAGCAAAAGGTGTTAAGTAAATATGGACCAATTAAATCTAAACAAAATGCAGGAGTCATCAAATAATTACATTTTCTGACCTAGACACTCAAATCTAAATGGGGTTATAAAAATATCAAGATGGATGCCTAGAATGATATTTAGAAGATGGCATGTGAGCCAGAGACAAAATGAAGCAGTTACAGTTAAATAGTGATAAAATAACATTTTCTGTAAACAAATTCTTCAAGATCCTATGATAAATGGTATAAAAAAGTATATTCATCAATTTAAAAAATCTCCAATCAAAAGGGGTTAAATGTTGTTCTGTTCTGACCATCTCTCAGTTGTTCTGTTCTGACCATCTCTCAGTTGTTCTGTTCTATCAGACCAGCTGATTCAAAGCTCCATTTCTGTGACCTGACATGTGGGTCACACTGGTGCAGCACCAGCTGACCTTGACCCATGACCTCCAGACACAGGTGTAATTTTGTGTGTTGAAGCTGATGGCTCTGTGGGGGAAAACAGGTGACTGATACATTCATGACTTGTGACTGATACATTCATGACTTGTGACTGATACATTCATGACTTGTGACTGATACATTCATGACTTGAGACTGATACATTCATGACTTGTGACTGATACATTCATGACTTGTGACTGATACATTCATGACTTGAGACTGATACATTCATGACTTGAGACTGATACATTCATGACTTGTGACTGATACATTCATGACTTGTGACTGATACATTCATGACTTGTGACTGATACATTCATGACTTGTGACTGATACAATCATGACTTGTGACTGATACATTCATGACTTGTGACTGATACATTCATGACTTGTGACTGATACATTCATGACTTGTGACTGATACATTCATGACTTGTGACTGATACATTCATGACTTGTGACTGATACATTCATGACTTGTGACTGATACATTCATGACTTGTGACTGATACATTCATGACTTGTGACTGATACATTCATGACTTGTGACTGATACATTCATGACTTGTGACTGATACATTCATGACTTGTGACTGATACATTCATGACTTGTGACTGATACATTCATGACTTGTGACTGGTACATTCATGACTTGTGACTGATACATTCATGACTTGTGACTGATACATTCATGACTTGTGACTGATACATTCATGACTTGTGACTGATACATTCATGACTTGTGACTGATACATTCATGACTTGTGACTGATACATTCATGATTTGTGACTGATACATTCATGACTTGTGACTGATACATTCATGACTTGTGACTGATACATTCATGACTTGAGACTGATACATTCATGACTTGTGACTGATACATTCATGACTTGTGACTGATACATTCATGACTTGTGACTGATACATTCATGACTTGTGACTGATACATTCATGACTTGTGACTGATACAATCATGACTTGTGACTGATACATTCATGACTTGTGACTGATACATTCATGACTTGTGACTGATACATTCATGACTTGTGACTGATACATTCATGACTTGTGACTGATACATTCATGACTTGTGACTGATACATTCATGACTTGTGACTGATACATTCATGACTTGTGACTGATACATTCATGACTTGTGACTGATACATTCATGGCTTGTGACTGATACATTCATGACTTGTGACTGATACATTCATGACTTGTGACTGATACATTCATGACTTGAGACTGATAAAGTCATAAATGAGCCAAGAAGTTAGGACCCACCCAGCCCCCTGTTAGGACCCACCCAGCCCCCTGTTATGACCCACCCAGCCCCCTGTTAGGATCCATCCAGCCCCCTGTTAGGATCCATCCAGCCAACCAAGCCCCCTGTTAGGACCCATCCAGCCAATCAAGCCCCCTATTAGGGCCCATCCAGCCAATCAAGCCCCCTGTTAGGACCCATCCAACCAATCAAGCCCCCTGTTAGACCCATCCAGCCAATCAAGTCCCCTGTTAGGACCCATCCAGCCAATCAAGCCTTCTGTTAGGACCCATCCAGCCAATCAAGCCCCCTGTTAGGACCCATCCAGCCCCCTGTTAGGACCCATCCAGCCAATCAAGTCCCATGTTAGACCCATCCAGCCAATCAAGCCCCCTGTTAGAACACATCCAGCCAATCAAGCCCCCTGTTAGGACCCATCCAGCCCCCTGTTAGGACCCATCCAGCCAATCAAGTCCCATGTTAGACCCATCCAGCCAATCAAGCCTCCTGTTAGAACACATCCAGCCAATCAAGCCCCCTGTTGGGACCCATCCAGCCCCCTGTTAGGACCCATCCACCCTTCTGTTAGGACCCATCCAGCCAATCAAGCCCCCTGTTAGGACCCATCCAGCCAATCAAGCCCCCTGTTGGGACCCATCCAGCCCCCTGTTAGGACCCATTCAGCCAATCAAGTCCCCTGTTAGGACCCATTCAGTCCCCTGTTAGGACCCATCCAGCCAATCAAGTCCCCTGTTAGACCCATCCAGCCAATCAAGCCCCCTGTTAGGACCCATCCAGCCCCCTGTTAGGACCCATCCAGCCAATCAAGTCCCCTGTTAGGACCCATTCAGTCCCCTGTTAGGACCCATCCAGCCCCCTGTTAGGACCCATCCAGCCCCCTGTTAGGACCCATCCAGCCAATCAAGTCCCCTGTTAGGACCCATGCAGCCCCCTGTTAGGACCCATGCAGCCCCCTGTTAGGACCCATCCAGCCAATCAAGTCCCCTGTTAGGACCCATGCAGCCCCCTGTTAGGACCCATGCAGCCCCCTGTTAGGACCCATCCAGCCAATCAAGTCCCCTGTTAGGACCCATGCAGCCCCCTGTTAGGACCCATGCAGCCCCCTGTTAGGACCCATCCAGCCAATCAAGCCCCCTGTTAGGACCCATGCAGCCCCTTGTTAGGACCCATCCAGCCCCCTGTTAGGACCCATCCAGCCCCCTGTTAGGACCCATCCAGCCCCCTGTTAGGACCCATGCAGCCCCCTGTTAGGACCAATCCAGCCCCCTGTTAGGACCCATCCAGCCCCCTGTTAGGACCCATCCAGCCAATCAAGTCCCCTGTTAGGACCCATGCAGCCCCCTGTTTGGACCCATCCAGCCCCCTGTTAGGACCCATGCAGCCCCCTGTTAGGACCCATCCAGCCCCCTGTTAGGACCCATCCAGCCAATCAAGCCCCCTGTTAGGACCCATCCAGCCCCCTGTTAGGACCCATCCAGCCAATCAAGCCCCCTGTTAGGACCCATCCAGCCCCCTGTTAGTACCCATTCAGCCAATCAAGTCCCCTGTTAGGACCCATTCAGTCCCCTGTTAGGACCCATCCAGCCCCCTGTTAGGACCCATCCAGCCCCCTGTTAGGACCCATCCAGTCCCCTGTTAGGACCCATCCAGCCCCCTGTTAGGACCCATCCAGTCCCCTGTTAGGACCCATCCAGCCCCCTGTTAGGACCCATCCAGCCCCCTGTTAGGACCCATGCAGCCAATCAAGACCCCTGTTAGGACCCATCCAGCCAATCAAGCCCCCTGTTAGACCCATCCAGCCAATCAAGCCCCCTGTATCCCTGCTATGTCTGACCTACCTGTGTATAGTGCCAGTGATGTGCAGGGTCTAAGAAGCAGTTTTCAATGAAAGGCAACACATCTGCCTCCTCAACTCGTGCTACCACACAATGAATTGTTGTTTTCAATTTGCCATCTTTAGTCAGTGAAAAGCCCTGATGAGATCAAATGTAGCAATCTATAACAGTTTCAACATTCTGTCTGTCACTCTGACCTCACATAGTTTTACATCCTACCCATATGGTCATTAAGAGTGAGAAAGCCCAACCACAAATGTCATCAAACTGTCCAGTCTACAGCCCCACCACAAATTTCATCAAACTGTCCAGTCTACAGCCCCACCACAAATGTCATCAAACTGTCCAGTCTACAGCCCCACCACAAATGTCATCAAACTGTCCAGTCTACAGCCCCACCATAAATGTCATCAAACTGTCCAGTCTACAGCCCCACCACAAATTTCATCAAACTGTCCAGTCTACAGCCCCACCACAAATGTCATCAAACTGTCCAGTCTACAGCCCCACCACAAATGTCATCAAACTGTCCAGTCTACAGCCCCACCACAAATTTCATCAAACTGTCCAGTCTACAGCCCCACCACAAATGTCATCAAACTGTCCAGTCTACAGCCCCACCACAAATGTCATCAAACTGTCCAGTCTACAGCCCCACCACAAATGTCATCAAACTGTCCAGTCTACAGCCCCACCACAAATGTCATCAAACTGTCCAGTCTACAGCCCCACCACAAATGTCATCAGTAAATGTCATCAAATAAATGTGCCTTTTTTTTGGTGGAATGGTACAATAAATGAATGGAAAAGATTTCCACATTTTTAAAAGGTTTTTGGTATGAATTTTTTTCATGGCAAATGTTCAATTTATTTTTGGATTTTTTTTATAAATGGTAAAAAGCTATAGTTGTAACTCTGCACATTAGAAATGTCTACTTAAGATAAACTGCTACCTGTGTTCGCAGATTTCCACTACATGTCTTTAGACGCAGGGGTTGGGCTGCTTGAAACACATAATCATCATTGTCCAAACAGGAACCCTTGGCAGATCTGACCTGTTGGCAGAGGATCTGTATTCAACATTGGTAAGCATGAAACTAGCCATAAGATAATAGTAGGATAGAACACTGTATTCAGCATTGGTAAGCATGAAACTAGCCATAAGATAATAGTAGGATAGAACACTGTATTCAACATTGGTAAGCATGAAACTAGCCATAAGATAATAGTAGGATAGAACACTGTATTCAACATTGGTAAGCATGAAACTAGCCATAAGATATTAGTAGGATAGAACACTGTATTCAACATTGGTAAGCATGAAACTAGCCATAAGATAATAGTAGGATAGAACACTGTATTCAACATTGGTAAGCATGAAACTAGCCATAAGATATTAGTAGGATAGAACACTGTATTCAACATTGGTAAGCATGAAACTAGCCATAAGTTATTAGTAGGATAGAACAGGGGTCGGCAACCTGCGGCTCGCGAGCCGCATGCGGCTCTTTTGATGTCAAGATGCGGCTCTTCAGCTCGATGCACAAATATAAATAATTATTTTATTTTATTTTTAAAGCTCATAAAAGTATTAGTCTGTGACACTCAGTAATGAACGATATAATAATAAATATAAACAGTAAACACTCGCTATTCTATTAGAATATTTAGTGTATCGATATTTCAATGTAGACCTACTTCCTTGTTTCCTAAAACTGAGTTATTTAAATATAAAGAATGCCTGTGTTTGGATCATATTTATCGGGACACTAGCGCCCACCACCATGGCGTGCTGTGTGAAAGCCTTGAGTGTAAGTTAATCACTCACCGTAATATCACTGTTAATCACTCACCGACGGTAAGTGGCGCTCTTGTGAATCCGATAACACTACCGCCGGGGCGTGGCGTAGCCCCTAGCTCGGTTTAATTATCGAATGCCGTATTGTAAAGTGCTCCTTAAAACTAAGGTAGGGGCTTAGTGCTCACGGGATAGCCCTGGGCGCCAAATCGCACCCTGCAGTGACGCCGGAGGACGCCCCTAATTCAATTTAGTGAGCGACTATAACAACCTACTGTATCCATAGCCTATCGCGCTGTTCAAAATGAACGTATTGTTGCCCATTGTGTCTATCGTGTACAGCCATTAAAAAAAAAACAATGTAGGCGCTATAGTACTCGCAGGGTCGCCCAATGGACGAGGCCCCGGCGGTTGCGTCTGTTGCAGTTTTGCCGCTGAATATAGTAGTACCCCTTGCCCGCTATGCAGAACGCCCGATTAACGGATGCCAAGTACTAATATAGCCGCTCTCGAACTCTGGGCGCCAAAATGTGTATTGACAAAAAAATGCACCTCCCGGGTACCGCCCTTAAGAAATTTTAATTTTTTTTTTCGCAGCAATCTTTTCGGGAGTATTTTCATCTACTCTACAAAGTTTCATGGCACTCGGATAAACTGTGTCGAACCGCATACAACTTTTTTTTTACGGTATATAGAGAAAAATCTCACCTCTACCCTCCTTGGAGTATTCTCAACAATTTTTCCAAGTTTCATGGCGATCGGATGAAAGGTGTAGTAATGCATAAAAGAAAAACACACACACACACAAGCACACATACATTGATTTATATATATATATATATATATATATATATATATATATATATATATATATATATCAAATCCTAATTACAGATCATAATATTAATAATAATAGTATAAAAATGTTGGCGGCTCTTTAAAAACTTGGACATTTTGTAAATTGTAACTTTTGGCTCTTCTGTCTCAAAAGGTTGCCGACCCCTGGGATAGAACACTGTATTCAACATTGGTAAGCATGAAACTAGCCATAAGATATTAGTAGGATAGGACACTGTATTCAACATTGGTAAGCATGAAACTAGCCATAAGATATTAGTAGGATAGAACACTGTATTCAAAACTGTAAAATGTTCCCAATACTAACTGGTGTAAAGGGTTATCCACTCCCTGGACCCACACTAACAATTGTAGAGGGTTCCCTACATCAAATGTTGTAGAGGGTTCCCCACATTAAATGTTGAAGAGGGTTCCCTACATCAAATGTTGTAGAGGGTTCCCCACATTAAATGTTGAAGAGGGTTCCCCACATTAAATGTTGTAGAGGGCTCCCCACATCAAATGTTGTAGAGGGTTCCCCACATCAAATGTTGAAGAGGGTTCCCCACATCAAATGTTGAAGAGGGTTCCCCACATTAAATGTTGAAGAGGGTTCCCCACATTAAATGTTGAAGAGGGTTCCCCACATTAAATGTTGTAGAGGGTTCCCCACATCAAATGTTGTAGAGGGTTCCCCACACTAACTGTCATAAAGGGTTCCCCACACATTCATAGAGGGTTCCCCACACTAACAGTTGTAGAGGGTTCCCCACACTAACAGTTGTAGAGGGTTCCCCACACTAACTGTCATAAAGGGTTCCCCACACTGTCATAGAGGGTTCCCCACACTAACAGTTGTAGAGGGTTCCCCACATCAAATGTTGTAGAGGGTTCCCCACACTAACTGTCATAAAGGGTTTCCCACACTGTCATAGAGGGTTCCCCACACTAACTGTCATAGAGGGTTCCCCACACTAACTGTCATAAAGGGTTCCCCACACATTCATAGAGGGTTCCCACACTAACAGTTGTAGAGAGTTCCCCACACTAACAGTTGTAGAGAGTTCCCCACACTAACAGTTGTAGAGAGTTCCCCACACTAACAGTTGTAGAGGGTTCCCCACTCACCTGCCCCCACACTATGGAGTTGTCCTGATAAGGCAGCAGCTCTGGCCAGACATTGTGCAGGAACCAGCTGAAGTTGTGGCACTGGAACTGGGATTTGATAGCATGCCTCTCCCTGAGATCACCCACATCTAGATCCTACAAGAGAACAAATAACTCTAGGGATTTGATAGCATGCCTCTCCCTGAGATCACCCACATCTAGATCCTACAAGAGAACAAATAACTCTAGGGATTTGATAGCATGTCTCTCCCTGAGATCACCCACATCTAGATCCTACAAGAGAACAAATAACTCTAGGGATTTGATAGCATGCCTCTCCCTGAGATCACCCACATCTAGATCCTACAAGAGAACAAATAACTCTAGGGATTTGATAGCATGCCTCTCCCTGAGATCACCCACATCTAGATCCTACAAGAGAACAAATAACTCTAGGGATTTGATAGCATGCCTCTCCCTGAGATCACCCACATCTAGATCCTACAAGAGAACAAATAACTCTAGGGATTTGATAGCGTGCCTCTCCCTGAGATCACCCACATCTAGATCCTACAAGAGAACAAATAACTCTCCCTCTAGGGATTTGATAGCATGCCTCTCCCTGAGATCACCCACATCTAGATCCTACAAGAGAACAAATAACTATCCCTCTAGGGATTTGATAGCATGCCTCTCCCTGAGATCACCCACATCTAGATCCTACAAGAGAACAAATAACTCTAGGGATTTGATAGCATGCCTCTCCCTGAGATCACCCACATCTAGATCCTACAAGAGAACAAATAACTCTTCTTGTAGGGATTTGATAGCATGTCTCTCCCTGAGATCACCCACATCTAGATCCTACAAGAGAACAAATAACTCTAGGGATTTGATAGCATGCCTCTCCCTGAGATCACCCACATCTAGATCCTACAAGAGAACAAATAACTCTAGGGATTTGATAGCATGCCTCTCCCTGAGATCACCCACATCTAGATCCTACAAGAGAACAAATAACTCTAGGGATTTGATAGCATGCCTCTCCCTGAGATCACCCACATCTAGATCCTACAAGAGAACAAATAACTCTAGGGATTTGATAGCATGTCTCTCCCTGAGATCACCCACATCTAGATCCTACAAGAGAACAAATAACTCTCCCTCTAGGGATTTGATAGCATGCCTCTCCCTGAGATCACCCACATCTAGATCCTACAAGAGAACAAATAACTCTAGGGATTTGATAGCATGCCTCTCCCTGAGATCACCCACATCTAGATCCTACAAAATATATTCATGCCGTTCCTCAAATAATCTTAACTTATACTGGGTAGCACTCACCTTCATTCCAGGAAACAGATTGTAAACATATTTCTTGTAGTCACCCAGCCAGACTTCAACAGCCCGTTTGTAATTGTGCTGCTCAGTCTCCCGGCGACCTTTAGGGAATGTGTAGGGCTGTGACCTCTCAATGTGGCCAATATGTGAACACGGAACATGGAGGAGCTGACCCCCACACAACCACACCTGCAGATCAACAAACCAGGGGCTACTCTGTTCAATCTTTTATCTCATTCAAACATTTGATAATCAGGGCTCAGTGGACTTTATTTTAGTCTCCATTCAAGGAATTTGTTTACATTAGATAATCAGGACTCATATTTTAGTCTCCATTCAAGGGATTTGTTTACATTAGATAATCAGGACTCAGTGGACTTTATTTTAGTGTCCATTCAAGGGATTTGTTTACATTAGATAATCAGGACTCATATTTTAGTCTCCATTCAAGGGATTTGTTTACATTAGATAATCAGGACTCAGTGGACTTTATTTTAGTGTCCATTCAAGGGATTTGTTTACATTAGATAATCAGGGCTCATATTTTAGTCTCCATTCAAGGGATTTTTTTATATTAGATAATCAGGACTCAGTGGACTTTATTTTAGTCTCCACTCAAGGGATTTGTTTACATTAGATAATCAGGGCTCATATTTTAGTCTCCATTCAAGGGATTTGTTTACATTAGATAATCAGGACTCAGTTGACTTTATTTTAGTCTCCACTCAAGGGATTTGTTTACATTAGATAATCAGGACTCAATTGACTTTATTTTAGTGTCCATTCAAGGGATTTGTTTACATTAGATAATCAGGACTCATATTTTAGTCTCCATTCAAGGGATTTGTTTATATTAGATAATCAGGGCTCAGTGGACTTTATTTTAGTCTCCACTCAAGGGATTTGTTTACATTAGATAATCAGGACTCAATTGACTTTATTTTAGTGTCCATTCAAGGGATTTGTTTACATTAGATAATCAGGACTCATATTTTAGTCTCCATTCAAGGGATTTGTTTACATTAGATAATCAGGGCTCAGTTGACTTTATTTTAGTCTCCACTCAAGGGATTTGTTTACATTAGATAATCAGGACTCAATTGACTTTATTTTAGTGTCCATTCAAAGGATTTGTTTACATTAGATAATCAGGACTCATATTTTAGTCTCCATTCAAGGGATTTGTTTACATTAGATAATCAGGGCTCAGTGGACTTTATTTTAGTGTCCATTCAAGGGATTTGTTTACATTAGATAATCAGGACTCATATTTTAGTCTCCATTCAAGGGATTTGTTTACATTAGATAATCAGGGCTCATATTTTAGTCTCCATTCAAGGGATTTGTTTACATTAGATAATCAGGGCTCATATTTTAGTCTCCATTCAAGGGATTTGTTTACATTAGATAATCAGGGCTCATATTTTAGTCTCCATTCAAGGGATTTGTTTACATTAGATAATCAGGGCTCAGTGGACTTTATTTTAGTGTCCATTCTAGGGATTTGTTTACATTAGATAATCAGGGCTCATATTTTAGTCTCCATTCAAGGGATTTGTTTACATTAGATAATCAGGGCTCATATTTTAGTGTCCATTCAAGGGATTTGTTTACATTAGATAATCAAGGCTCAGTGGACTTTATTTTAGTCTTCATTCAAGGGATTTGTTTACATTAGATAATCAGGGCTCATATTTTAGTCTCCATTCAAGGGATTTGTTTACGTACCCTCCAAGCCAGCTCAATGTTTTCACCTCCCCATATTAACATATCCTTGTCATACGTGCCGATATGTTTAAAGTATTCAACATCCACTGCAAAGCCAGGACCAACCATCAAGACACCACTAGAACAGGACAAATTTTTAAACTATATATCCATTTCTAACAAGTATTATCTTCATTGAACTGAGTCACAATAAGAAATGAAGAAGCAATGATAAAAAAGTTAAAAGAAAAGCTCATTCTCACGGCATAGGATCCGTTTCTTTCTTGCCAATGAGCTGGTCTGGTCTAAAGTAGGTCTCAAAAAACTGCATGTCCCAGCGGAAACCGTATCTTGTTCTGTAGCCAGGATAAAACTTGTAGTAAAAGCTGTCCTTGTTGATGTAGTCCAGCTGGCCCATGGCTATGGTCTTCTTGTTTTTTACTATCTCAGTCAACAGGGGCTGAAGCCTACAAGTGGACCACAAGCTTTCATACATTGGCTTCAACTCTCTCATCATTCATACATTGGCTTCAACTCTCTCATCATTCATACATTGGCTTCAACTCTCTCATCATTCATACATTGGCTTCAACTCTCTCATAATTCATACATTGGCTTCAACAGTTTCACTCTCTCATAATTCATACATTGGCTTCAACTCTCTCATAATTCATACATTGGCTTCAACTCTCTCATAATTCATACATTGGCTTCAACTCTCTCATAATTCATACATTGGCTTCAATTCTCTCATAATTCATACATTGGCTTCAACTCTTTCACTCTCTCATAATTCATACATTGGCTTCAACAGTTTCACTCTCTCATAATTCATACATTGGCTTCAACTGTTTCACTCCCTCATAATTCATACATTGGCTTCAACTCTCTCATAATTCATACATTGGCTTCAACTGTTTCACTCCCTCATAATTCATACATTAGCTTCAACTCTCTCATAATTCATACATTGGCTTCAACTCTCTCATAATTCATACATTGGCTTCAACAGTTTCACTCTCTCATAATTCATACATTGGCTTCAACTCTCTCATAATTCATACATTGGCTTCAACTCTCTCATAATTCATACATTGGCTTCAACTCTCTCATAATTCATACATTGGCTTCAATTCTCTCATAATTCATACATTGGCTTCAACTCTTTCACTCTCTCATAATTCATACATTGGCTTCAACTGTTTCACTCCCTCATAATTCATACATTGGCTTCAACTCTCTCATAATTCATACATTGGCTTCAACTGTTTCACTCCCTCATAATTCATACATTAGCTTCAACTCTCTCATAATTCATACATTGGCTTCAACTCTCTCATAATTCATACATTGGCTTCAACAGTTTCACTCTCTCATAATTCATACATTGGCTTCAACTCTCTCATAATTCATACATTGGCTTCAACTCTCTCATAATTCATACATTGGCTTCAACAGTTTCACTCTCTCATAATTCATACATTGGCTTCAACTCTCTCATAATTCATACATTGGCTTCAACTCTCTCATAATTCATACATTGGCTTCAACTCTCTCATAATTCATACATTGGCTTCAATTCTCTCATAATTCATACATTGGCTTCAACTCTTTCACTCTCTCATAATTCATACATTGGCTTCAACAGTTTCACTCTCTCATAATTCATACATTGGCTTCAACTGTTTCACTCCCTCATAATTCATACATTGGCTTCAACTCTCTCATAATTCATACATTGGCTTCAACTGTTTCACTCCCTCATAATTCATACATTAGCTTCAACTCTCTCATAATTCATACATTGGCTTCAACTCTCTCATAATTCATACATTGGCTTCAACAGTTTCACTCTCTCATAATTCATACATTGGCTTCAACTCTCTCATAATTCATACATTGGCTTCAACTCTCTCATAATTCATACATTGGCTTCAACAGTTTCACTCTCTCATAATTCATACATTGGCTTCAACTCTCTCATAATTCATACATTGGCTTCAACTCTCTCATAATTCATACATTGGCTTCAACTCTCTCATTATTCATACATTGGCTTCAACTCTCTAATAATTCATACATTGGCTTCAACAGTTTCACTCTCTCATAATTCATACATTGGCTTCAACTCTCTCATAATTCATACATTGGCTTCAACTCTCTAATAATTCATACATTGGCTTCAACAGTTTCACTCTCTCATAATTCATACATTGGCTTCAACAGTTTCACTCTCTCATAATTCATACATTGGCTTCAACTGTTTCACTCTCTCATAATTCATTAGCTTGAGCTTTTTAAATGACGGAATGTTTCAATACAAATCTTACATCATAAATAATGTGGTACTAGTGAGCTATAAGATGTGGACATAGCTATAACTGACCAGTCTGTGTTGACCTCCATGTGACTGTCAAAGAAGGAAACAACTTCTCCACGCACCCAATTCAAGCCTTCCAGCCTGGCACGTATCAGGCCCTCCCTCTTGTCCAGCCTAATCAGCTTGACCAGCTCCTTAGAAAAGTGTTCCTCTATGTATTGCTTTAAATGGACTTTTAAAAGTTCTGCAAAAAAACATTTACATCTGACACTACCATACAACATCACGACTAAATAGTGGACCACAACATTCATACAGATTCATACTAAATAGTGGACCACAATATTCATACAATATCCGTACTAAATAGTGGACCACAATATTCATACAATATCCGTACTAAATATTGGACCACAACATTCATACAACATCACGCCTATATAGTGGACCACAATATTCATACAGATTCATACTAAATAATGGACCACAATATTCATACAACATCCATACTAAATATTGGACCACAATGTTCATACAACATTCCTACTAAATAATGGACTACAATCATCATACAACATCTAGCTAAACTGTTTGGACCACAATGATCATACAACAAACTTTCGGCCACAATATGTATATATAAGTTCAAATACATTAAATAGCTTATGAGACAGAATAAAACAACTTACTTATATCACTTGCATCATCAACTAAGATAATATCTTTCAGCAAATGTTTGGGTGTTCGATTGATTAATGCATAAACAGTTCGCAGGATAACAGAAGGCCATTCATTGTGAAATGGTATGACTACACTGGTTGTTGGCAGGTTGTCAGGGTAAACAAGACTGCCGCACCTGCTCAGACAAATTGGACAATCTATCAGACTCTCTAGTTGCTGTTTAAATACTTTCTTTTCAATATATAAATAAAACATCAATTGGTTGTCTAAAATAAAATTAAAATAATGGTACTTAAACTGTGTAAACTAAAATTAAAATAACAATACCCAAGTGGTCTGGAATCTGGCACTTCACGGTCCAGTGGTAGCTGGTCACTAGCATAAACATTTAAGTTATATTCTTTCATCAGTGCCTCTGTAATATCAAAATCATCAGGGATGACCCCTGCTGCATTTGCATAGCTGGATGTATGGTTGTGGTCAGCACCACCGGGCTGCAATTTATTTACATTCCAGAAGATTCCAATTCCTGAGTTTACTGTCAGTTTTCTATAAGCTGTCCATTTGATAACAGCAACACTGCTGAACATGCTTTGGTAAATGTAAGTTACCAAAACAATGCTCACACTGCTAATGAGGGCAATTAGAAATATTCGGCGTAGGTGCAGCCTCATTTTCCATTTACAATGTCACAGAAAAGCTAGAAATGTGCCATGAATTCAAATAAAAATGTTAGCTATACATGATCTTCAACAGCAGAAATCACATGAAAATATCACAATTAAGACATTAGTTATACAAGGTCTTCAACAGCAGAAATCTATTGAAACTATCACAATAAAGACATTAGCTATACACGATCTTCAACAACAGAAATCACATGAAAATATCACAATAAGACATTAGTTATACAAGGTCTTCAACAGCAGAAATCTATTGAAACTATCACAATAAAGACATTAGCTATACACGATCTTCAACAACAGAAATCACATGAAAATATCACAATAAAGACATTAGTTATACAAGATCTTTAACAGCAGAAATCCATGAACTATCACAATAAAGACATTAGTTATACATGATCTTCAACAGCAGAAATCCATTGAAATTATCACAATAAAGACATTAGTTATACATGATCTTCAACAACAGAAATCTATTGTAACTATCACAATGAAAACAATTGGGTCTCCATGAGAAACGTGGATGTTTATCGAATAATTGGAAGATTGATTTAGGTATATAGGTATAATAGGTTTAGGTAAAGTTGCCTCATTGTTAATGCTTTAATAGAAGTTTATTGTATCAAATATTATAGATAACTGAATAATAAACCAAAATCAATGGCAAAATATATCAATAGCCTATAGGCTAGAAATTAACTTTAAAAAGCAGTGTTTGCTAGCAGGATTAGCTATATAAAAAGTGGCCATTTGTAAGTTAGAGTGTCTTCCCCTGAATCGTGCGCTAGAAGTTTACTATAAAAAAAATAAACAAGATTACTGCTATAGTAAATGAGCATGGTTGCATCTGTTGGAAACATCGCTAGTCTTCATTTATTTTATTACTGAAAAGTTTTAATTCAATTGTTTAAAAACAGGTACATAAATGAAACAAGGGAACATTTTTGTATTTTTCAAAACATAATTTAAATCCTCCTCAAAATGATAAAATAATTATTAAAATTTAAGGAGTCACCTGTTTCACATTACTAGTCGCGGGCGATTTTATGTACCTAAAATGATAGATTACCAACTTAAGATATAGGCTACATGAACAAATTAGAGCTATCTCATTCTCAGTATCTCTTCTTAGAAGCATCATTTCATGCCATGCATTTTGCATGACATCATGACATGAGTTCTTGACATCACATGATCACATAGTCACATAGACTGTGACATAGACTAGCAACTTTCAAAAAAGCCCTGGGACCGTTTTAAAAATCAGTTTGACACCCCTATTAAATCATTAATTAAGTAAAACTAAATAAGTAATTAAGTTTAAGTATTACTAGTTAAGTTTTACTAGATCTAGATCTACTCACGGCCGATTTTACGCACCTAAAACGATACGATAGATTACCCGTTTAGTCTTATATTAATATATTATATTTAGATCTAAACCTTGCCCACAAACAAAATACATTTTTTTTTAAGTTTAAACTTTTTGATGGTACGTTGTTTGTTATTTGTATAATTTAAAAACTTCTTTCATAAAGAGTTAATCTGTTGAGGTCATACTAAAATACAGAACTTTTATTTAACGTATGCTTTTCTTGATTTCCATGTTGTTAGGCATAGGCTACAACTACAAGATAAAGCGGGAGAAATATCCCCTAACTTATACTTAAATATACTTATAGAACACTACGGGGAATATCTCGGGACATAGACATGATTGTTAATCAATCTTTAATACATTTATTACTTTTTACTTTCTCGTATATACGTAGTATAGAGAAAGTATTGTAATCGTGCAAAAAAAAAAATCGAGATTTTTACAAATCTCGACGTTTTACACCTCACTGATACGGAAAAACATAATTTTGCAATCTTGTCCGTATGTCTGTGTGTGTGTGTGTCTGTCCGTGTGTGTGTCTGTCCGTGTGTAAACACGATAACTTGAGTACCGTTACAGCTAGGTTGATGAAATTTCATATATAAGTATTTTATCAAAATCGTAGATCCGTATCAACTTTTGAGCGATTTCCGATAACCGGAAGTGGTACTTTTCCTACTTTGAATTTTTTAAAAGCCTATAACTTGACTACTATTTCAGATAGATAAATGAAATTTCACATGTAAGTAAAAGATCTAATTCTCTACCTTCTGTTAAATTTTGAGTAATTTCCGTTGACAGGAAGTAGTAATTTACGCTACTTCCGATTTCTCAAAAAACTAATGTAAATTTTAAAAGTACTAATAATATTGCGCACTATTATGCGCTTTTTTATTTCGCGTTCACTTGGTGTGCAATTAATTTGTCTACGAGATTTTATTCTATTTTTAAAACTTTAAGTATTTAAAATGGATTAAAAATCATGTCTATAGCCCGAGTTCCCATCCCCTGTTATTTTATATAAAAATATTCGAGAAAGTTTAGGGGAGATCACTACCGGTTTATTTATTACATTAATAAACTTTCTAAAATAGAATAGTATCTCGTAGAAAAAATAATTGCGCATCAAGTGAACAGCAAACAATGATGTAATTATTAGTTCAGTAGCGTACGCAGGGGGGGGGAGCAGGGGAAGCTGCCGCTCCCCCTCTGGCCATTTTCAGCAAATTGGCGCCTTTTTGGAAACTTTTTAAACTCAAAGTTTTAAACAATGATTTTTGTTTAAAAAATATTTTTAGTCGGCGCATCTATGTAAATCACAAGATTTCTTTTCATGCAGCAATTAAGCAGAATTGTATTAGTCTAGTAGCGTCTACGTTTACAACACGTATTAACAGCTGTATCAAGTTTGTCTTTCTAAAAATAACCATTACGATGCATTGCAATTTTAAACAACCTCTACGGGTAGTACCACTTGGCAAGAGGGGTGTTAAGTTTAAGGCAACTGTATAATGTATTTGCTTAAGAATAATTGATCTAGAAAATATTATACATAAATCTTCGCACATAATTACTTTTTATATACAGTTTTAATCGTGTAATTAATTTTTAAAAAATTACAATACAGACACAAATACAACTGATGTGGCACCTCTATTTAAATTTACTTATGGGCAAACTGCGTAGTGGTGGGGAAATTTTGACAAGGTCAACAACGTCATCACGATGAAGTAGTAGTATTATGACAGTTTGTGCGATAGTGATTACGATTACAAATTAGATGAAACAGTTACAACCCCCCCCCCTCCCCCCCCTCCCCCCCCCCCATGGATTCTCTGTAAAACAAGGTAATTAAAAAGTCTAGTGACAATTTTAGCGCAGTTTCCTTATGTTATCTAAAAATAGCTCTGTCGTAGCGTAAATCAAGAGCAGGGTTAGTAAAACCATTGGTTAGTTATTAAAACGTTTTTTATTTTAAAAAAATTAAGTATTTTACATGTTTTATTTGCAATAGAGTTACATGACTAAAAACCATTGCGCGCCTAGCTACCGAACGTGATGTCGCAGCCATTGGACGTGATGGCGCAGCTATTGAACGTGATGACGTGTGTGGTGTGGTTGGATAAAAATGCCTACAAATTCGGTCCAAATTTTAATTAATTCAAAAAAAAATTTGTGACCGAACGAAAGGATATTTTTGAAAACTTTCTTCGGCAATATTGTTCTAAATTATGGCAGGAATCGATTGGTACATGTTTCAAGTCGCTAAGTGGTCTGGTTGCCGAGATATGGGTCAAAAACTGCATTTTTTTCGAGGTTTTTTGGCTTTTCCGGGAAACCCATGAAAGAAACCCGGAATTTTTATAATCTATGTTCATCCTCGTAACTTGCTAAACATAATTGCTTTTGGAACTAGTCCTCGATATTGCTTCGTTGAGGAGGAGATACGACTTAAAGCTGCGGACACACATTCATCCATCCATTCATCCATCCAGAAATGACGGGTTAATAAACGCAATTCTCCAGAATGGAAATTGCGCTAAAAATATTGTCATAATATCACTGCTACTTATTTAAATCTATTTCTGAATCAGTATATATGTGTAATTGAATATGTATGTTTAGAACAGTCATCTAAAAACTGACGCTATGTTCACTGTGAGTTAGTTATCTCCCCCCCCCCCACCCCACACACACCTCACCACCACAATTGTGTAGAGCGACATTAATGTCACACCTAGGAATACACTGGGTTGGATAATTGACCTAAAGTGACCGGACAGTGGTGAATGATTTTGAACACCCCCCAACCCAACCCGAACTGATCTGTTAAGTATATTTGGGAAAACGCGTAACGATGTACCGAAGTACCATGCCGCCAGAATCATAGCTTTTGAAACAGGTAAAACTCTGTGAATATTGTTTTTGCTATTACCAGTAAAAAGGTGTGTGATCAATACAGTGATCTAACCCATACCTGATCACTATGTTAAAAATGATCTTTAAAAAACACAAAAAGCAGTAGTTAATTATAATTAAAATATGTAGATATATACATATGTATATTAAGAGCGTGATCTTTTTCTTCTTCTTCGTTCTTAATTTTTAGTGTTGAAGGGGATCGAGATTTATCTGCCAGTGGGTTAAACTCGAGACTTTGTTCGAATTGATCAACTATGAGCTTTTTTTTTTGCCGACTCGACCACGCCTCCAACACAATTAAGCGGTACGTGTCAACTGGTTATGCGCCGTTGAGGCCATTGACTCCGATTTCAGCCTGCTTTTCTTTTTGGATTTGCTTCCATAGCCTTTGTCCAACCAAGAACAAACTACAAGGCAGCAGTTGTTTAATTTTGGAGTTGTCTCTCCTAGACGAGTGGCTGTCCCCAGCTAACGAGCCTCATCTGCCCGAGGGTTCGAACTCGAGACTTTTCGGATTAGCAACCATGAGCTTTACCGACTCGACCACGCCGACCCCAGAGCGTGATTATTTTCCCTATTTCGCTTGTCTTAATTAATGCCCCAGGTATTATTATGTAAAATTTGTTTTTTACAAGAATTACAAAACAGATTGTGTTGCGTTTATTGTTTTTGGTTGGAGTATATATATATATATATATATATTTATATATATATATATATATATATATATATATATATATATATATATATATATATATATATATATATATATATATATATATATATATATATATATATATATATATATATATATATATAATACACGTATATAGAACGTGTTCAAAATTCGGCGCCTTTTTTAGCTCATTTCGCTCACCCTACAAGGAAAACCTAGATACGCCTCTGTATTAGTTCTTTATAAATTCCTAGGAGTTTTTTGAGGAATCGAAAATAGCGTAAAGTACTACTTCCGGAAGTGGAACTTATTCTACTTTTGGTTTTTCAAAAGCCTATAACTTGAGTACTATTTCAGATAGATCAATGAAATTTCACATATAAGTATAAGTAAAAGATCTAATTATCTGCATTCTATCAAATTTTGAGTAACTTCCGTTTACCGGAAGTAGTAATTTACGCTATTTCCGATTTCTCAAAAAAACGCATGTGAATATATAAAGTACTAATAGTATAATAGTATTCCGCACTATTATACACATTTTGTTTGGCGTTTACTTGGTGCGCAATTCTTTTTTCTACGAGATTTTTTTCTATTTTAAAAAGTTTAAGTAGACCTAGGGGTCTTCCATAAATGACGTCACGCTTTTTAAAAATGATTTTAACCTTCCCCCCCCCCTCCTCCGTCACACATCGTCACAAAAAGCCAGACCCCCCCCCCAAAAATGACGTCACACCTCAGCCTACAACCCCCCTCAAAATTGCAGTTGAATTTTTTTTTAAACATCGATATTTTTCTAAAATCTTGTCTGAATTGTGTCAAAATAGTCTTTTAATCAATTCTTATTACAATTTATTAAAACAGTTTTCTAAAACGCGAAATAAAGACTAAAGTTCGTTTCTAACATTGCTTTTGTATAATGCAAAAGTGTGACGTCGCACCATCTGAACCCCCCCCCCCCCCCCCCATCACACACCGTCACAAAATTACGGTACCCCCTCCCCCTACGAGTGTGACGTCATTTATGGACGACCCCCTACTTAAAAATGGAGTTAAAAACATTTCTATATCCCGAGTTCCCATCCCCAGTAGTGTTATATAAGAATGTTCTAGTAAGTTTAGGGGAAATCACTTATACCGGTTTATTTATTATTATTTTTTTGGAGATACAATCCAAAATTACACATCAGATCTGAAAAAAAAACCAACTCATTATACATAAAAAAAATAGTGATAGGTAGGTACCAACAGTTATATTCATAGCCACTCATAGGCAATCCTAGGCATTGCAGAGCTAATTCAGACATTTCAATGGAGGGGGGGGGGGGGGGATCAGCCCTCCGACTCCCTGGTTGAAATAGACTTTATATAGAAAATATATAACCTATCTTCAAAATAATGTATTATGAATTTTCAAAATTTGTGCCCGTTCGAAACACTTAATTTTGGGGAATTTTGGGGCATTAAAACTAGTGTTTTTAATGGACCCACAATTTGAAAACTCATAAAAAATTAGTTTGAAGGTATGCACTTAAATTTTTTTAGCTGAGTGCCCCAAAATATGGAAGAATATTATGAATTAATTGTTTATAGGGCTTAATATATGTAACACATATGGTTACCAGCCAAGGGGGGGGGGGGGAGAATGAAGTTTTAATTCATTGGGTTGCGGCCCCTGTGGGACCGCAACTGAACTGTTGATGTAGGTTTTTTTTTCATGCTCTTGTGAGCGATGTTACCTGTGTCCCATGTCATGTGTCATGTGACATGGGACTGTGGGTAGTTTCGTGCCTAGCCGTGTCAGTCACACGCAAGGCTGCTGTCTGTGGACACGGTGACCAAGATGTAGACCTAATGAAGTTTTTTCTCTCTGTTACCAAGATGTTTCCAAGAATATTTTTTTTGAGTGGAAATGCACATGCAGATGTATCTTAATAAAGCTGTAAAGAAATAACTGTTTTCTAACGAGTATTAAAAAAGTTTTTTTTTTTTTTTTTTAACCGGAGCCTTCCTCCTTAAACCAATATTAGTGTTGACGGTTGATAGTGGCCCAGACGAAAACCCTAGGTATCAAAAGGTCATCAAGGTTGCGGTACACCACTTTCTCAATCAGAACTATGATGGTTTGTTCATTGCTACCAATGCTTCAGTAAAAAGTGCATTTAATAGGGTTTAAAGAAAAATGGCGCCGCTTAGCAATGAGCTCACAGGATTAGTTTTACCCCATGACCACTACGGCAGTCATTTGTATGTAAGAGGATTCACAATAGGCACAGATTTAGAGAAGAAGAATTTTCTATTGGCCGGAAACACTTTGGCAGAAATATGGTCACACATGACAGTGGATACGTTTCCTACAGTGGTAGAATACATAGATCCAGAAGAGTCTGAACTCCTTGAAACTTCTCTGCTCTCAAAGGATCAGGTTGGCACGATATTCATGTAAGAACTAGTCAGTATTTGACTCAGATCGTTAAATGCATGGACGGTAAATGCTGCGCAAGGCCAAGAAGCTCGTATTTCAGCTTAATAACTGATAGATTTCTTCCTCCACCTTTACCGGGTCGCCCAAACAAGCTGTGGACTAACAGTACCTGAGCGTTCAACAGATGGCTCTTCACATAAATTTCCATCTCTTTTTGCTGCTCAATGTATAAAAGTGGATGAAATCCTCCCCCGCTCTTCATATCCTTATCGCACAATCCCTTATGATTTGTATTGTCCGTCTGTTCAATCCGTGATCAGCGACAGGGTTTGTATAAAGTGTCACTCATACTTCTCTTATGCTGCGCAATCATTCCTTGACTCACAAACAGGAATCAGCCATTACAGCGCATCAGGCCTCTGAGAGTTGCTGCACGTCGCCAACGTGAACTGATGTTTATAAATAATTGCCAATGAAATTAATGGTGAGAAAAAAAAATTAGATCTAGGAGAAATTGAAACGAAGCAGTTTTCGAAAAAAAAAAAGAATATGGCACGTCTTAAGAATAAGGCTTATCCATTAATAACCCATAACACCCGCTTAGAATACGCATAGAAAAATTAATTGGTTTCATAAAAATTTGGCCTACAAATTCTAATTTTTAACCAAACAGGAAGTTGGATAGTTCCAACATCCCTTTCCGGTTTACTAGTTTTAAAGTTTAAACTAGACTTACCCGGTCATCCCTTGGATAACTGTGGGTTTCGGGGGTCATCCATAAATGACATCACGTCTGTCACTTATCACAAAATAACCAGACGTTTTTTATTTTTATCTTTTAAAAACACCAATTTCGGCTGAGCATAAGTCTGACCACACTATCCCTTCATATATGACGTCACAGGTGACCTACTCAACTCTACTTCACCTGCCCAGTGTCCCACCAAGTCTCAGACAACATGTTTTTATCGTTTAAAAAAAAACGATTCCGGCCGAGCATGTCTCTGACCACACTATCCTTTCATATACTTAGGACAAAGAAACAGATGAACTCTACTTCATCTGCCCTGTATCCCGCCAAGTTCAGATAGTCACATTTATCATTCACATCTAAAAATAAAATTTCACATTTACGTGATAAGTCTAGAACCCGTGCCACCCGCATGAAAGTCCTATTACACTAACAACTTAGCTGTCTAGACTCGTGACGACACTGATGGTTTTTTGAGGTATGACTTATAACTTAATACGAGTCTCCTTATGCAACTTGATTTACGCGAATAGGCCCTATCTAGATCTAAGTCTAGTAACTTTCAAATTAAATTAAATTTTATCTTAAATTAGCCAATTCCATAGCTAAACAAAGATTTTTATTAAATAATGAAGGCCTGAAATAGATTCTAGATGTAGAATTTACATTAAGTCTAGATCTAGATTCATAACTTTTTCTTCCTTCGACAGCTGATATGTAGATCTAGAGAAATGTATTGTAAAACTTAATGAAAAAGACAGTTGAAAATTAATATATAATTTTAAGTGTTGGAACGTAATAAATACAGCAAACGGACATATTGTTAAAGTTATAGCCGACAGAAAATTAGCTTCAGAACGCGTTAAACATTGGAATGGGAACACAATCTTCTTCGATAGAAGCCGCCATTGTTGATGTAAAAAGTAAACAAATCATGTGACGTCACTATTCAGTCAAAGTAAAGCCACTGTTTGAAAATTTTATAATTAATGTGGTTAATCTACCAATGAATAAATGAAATAACTTCTATAAATTTTTGATTAACAATCTGTTTGAAAACTAAATTTGTTCTCTAATTACATACTATTTTACAGCTCTCCACATAGTGCAGATTCTCTCCAGTAGCCAATCAGACAAACAAACAAAAAACAAATATTCAAACATGTAAACAAACTTGAGTTTTAGTAGTATAAAAGATGGCGATTTTGAAAGCTACATAATATTACTTTCTTTCCATCCCCAAATTTTTGAGTTAGACTCAAACTGTACCATTTTTAGTTGATTTAAAATCATGCCTAAAAACGTATCTAGGCATGTATTTTACGAATTATTTATCTTAAACATAACCAAATTAATACTCAGCTGTTAAATTCGATGCATAGTTGTTTAGACAAAAATAGTTGTCTATTTTCTCTAACATTTTTAAAATTTTGTACTGTACATCTACTGAATATATTTTATTCAATAATTAATACTGTTGGAAAGCCAGGTTTAATTCAAACTTTTAGCAGTTTTTATCTGACTTATTAATTTCATTTTTTTTAGATAAAAACGAATATTTTGTGAAACTGAAAGGGTTCACTTGACCATACAGTATACAGTTATGCTCCTTACATTGGGACGTAAAGGGTGCTGTTTTTAAAATGAAGAAGTGGTCATTTTAACCCATATTATTACTATCCCAAGGTCTCAATTTTTTAATAATTTTTACTTTCTAGTATATAGATCTACGAAGTATAGAGAAAGTCTTGTAATCGTGCAAAAAAAAAAAAAATGAGTGGGAAAAATCAATATTGCAATATTGTCTGTGTATGTTGATCTGCGTCAGTGAACACGATAACTTTAGTACAGTTACACCTATAGGTTAATGAAATTTCATATACAAGTATTATATCAAATTGTAGTTCTGTATCAACTTTTCAGCGATTTCCGATAACCGGAAGTGGATTTTATTCTACATTTGGTTTTTCAAAAAAAAGCAAAATATCAAATTCTCTGCTTTATGTCAAATAATGAGAAATTTCCGTTGACTGGAAGTAGTCGTAGTCTTCTTCTTCGTTCTTAATTTTAGTGTTGGAAGGTATCCTCCTCCAACACAATTAAGGATAGGTGTCAACTGGTTATGCGCCATTGAGGCCATTGACTCCAATATCAGCCTGCTTTTCTTTTCTGGCACAAAGTGATTCACTGAGCCATTTGATTTATAAACCAAATAAAAAGCTTGAAGAGAAGTTTACTTATAATATATAATCAGATATAATCAGATTTAGTGTCTGGTCAAATTTGTAACAGCTACCTCAATTTACATTACGTAATTGACACTTAACATGAGTCTTTGGTCAAGGAAAATAAATTAATTCGACCAACTAAAATAACTTTATTTATACCAGCGAATTTCCAATACAAGTGTCAGACCTCTGCCTAGTTGTTGACTAGGTTAAAAACACTGCTATAACTGTATAAATTACATGTTTACTAAAATAAAAGCAATATTTCCATCAGAACAAGTTTTTAAATAAAACAGTTTTTAATAATGATACTTAAAATATGTTTTGAAAATATCCCGAATTTTATGTGCTTCCTGACTAGCTCTGTTGTAGTTCTTTAATCTACACTGTGATCTTGTAACAGATGATCTACTACTTTTAGTCACGGAAACAGAATTCGGCAACATATTTGCATCCATAACCCCCTCTTTATCTATTATTATATTGTGCAATAAGCAAGCAGTTGTAACTAATGTATCAACATGCTGTTGATCCATTTGTAACCCTGTCTTTAAACATTTCCATTTGGCAACTAAAATACCAAATGCTCGATCCGCTGCTTCTTTAGCTTGATTATGTCGAATGTTAAAAGCTTCAATTGTAGGTGAAATCTTTTCAGATCCTGATGTATAGGGACGCATAAGATATTCCTTCAAAGGATACCTTTGGTCTCCAACTACAACATAAGGATGTTTGGTAGCTGTGCCAGGTAATGGCCTTGGTCCAGGAAATGGGAAAGTCCCTTCTTCTAGGTGTTTATACAGAGCTGACTCAAGGAAAAAAGAACCCTCATTTTGATGTTCATTAGTTACAGCCTCTACACTTAAAAATTTATATTTTGAATCAACCAGTCCTTGAAGATTAATATAATAAAGTTTATTACTGCTGCTGTCATCCAAATCAGAATTCTTTGGACACTTGTTGCAAAATTGAATGCTGCTGATAGTGGCGACACAGTTTGGATACCTTCTGATATTCTCATATTCTTTAGCAGTCTGCTCAAGCAATTCTTCTGTGAGATAAGGCATGTGCTTTAGCACAAATTGCTCCCAAATAGCAATACATGTCTCGTATATTATCTTAGAAATATCACAGTGTGAAATGCGAAATAAAAACGAAAGAGATCTGAATGCTATGCCAGTTGACATAAACCTGAAAATAGAAATAAGAAAACTACTGAATTCCCAAAATGTGGATGCTGAACTTACAGTTACTGGTGTACCTCAATCTATGTGCAGGTACCCCACTTTCTACCAATTTATGTTGATAACCATAATCAAATAAAAGCTAGACAAATGCAACTTTAACTTAAGTATTTTAAAACAATAATGAAGTTAAACATCACACCCTAACTTAACCTTTAATACTAAGCTTGATCCTAGCCATAATATTATATATGTGTAACTCAACGTATCATTCAAACAACTTTGTCATAGTGCTTCTCTACTTCACTATACTTTTTTCCACATTGTTCAACACTGCACAAAGGGAAATGACATTCAAAAGCAAAAGTTGCAAGATTGGGCCTAGATCTATATATAAACATCAGCATATTTAAAGTTGTTAAACTTGTAGGTCTTGCAGGCTATAGATTGTATATTTTTAAAAATATATGTAGGCCTATTCAATACTAATATTTTAGTTGAAAATGAGCAGTTGCAAGAAAAAATAAGTAAATTAGATCTTGACTTCATTTTAGATATTGTTGTGAATTTGTCAGGAATGAATCAATTGAATTCAATTATGCTTAGTAGGGCAAGAAAAATAATATCTTAATATATAGGCCTACTTTTTGCTAATCCTAACTACACTAATTTTTAGATTCCAGATCTAGAATAATCTAAATCTAGGTCTAGCTGTTGTATCAGCTAGCTAAATAATATAATAAATAGAAATACCAAAATAATATAATCTAGATCTAGTAAAATTTTCAGGTAATCTATAGTTTTAGGTACGTAAAATCGGCGGAGACTAAGTAATGTGAAGAAAAGGTGACTCTTAATGATTTCACACATTTATGTTCTGAAAGTTACAAGAATGTTTTAAAGTTTCATTCATGTACCGTTCCTGTCTTTAAACAATTGAATTAAAACTTTTCAGTAATAAATAAAGACTAGAGCTAGATGTAACGATGTTTTCTTCAGAGGCCCAGAGGCAACCAAGCTCATTTACTTTGGAAGCCATCTTGTTTAGTTTAAGTGGGTATGTGCCGATAAAAAAAAAACCTTTTTTAATATGCCTACTCGTTGGAAAACAATTATTTCTTTACAGCTTTTTTAAAGGTACATCCACATATGCATTTCCACTAAAAAAAATCGGTGGGAAAATCTTGGTAACTATGACAATGGCGACCATCTTGAAAAATTAACCCCTTCATACTAGAGTTTTTATAACGGACCCACAATTTGAAAATTCATAAAAAATGAATTTGAAGACCTATGCACTTTAAATTTTTTTCACATTACTAGATTAGATCTAGATCCAGCATCGGCCAATTTTACGCAACTAAAACGATAGATTACCCATGTTCATTTACTGGTAATCTATCGTTCTGGTGCGTAAAATCGCCCGCGGCTAGTAATGTACGAAAAAGTTACCTCATTGTCAAGGCTTTAGGCCTAATAGAAGTATATTGTGATCTATTTGTGTCAAATATTATAGATAAATGAATAATAAACCTAAATCAATGGCTAAATATATCAATATAGGCAAGAAATTAACTTTAAACAGCAGTGTTTGCGAGCTGGATTTGCTATATAAAAAAAAACGGCCATCTGTAAATTAGAGTGGCTTTTCTGAATCTTGCACTAAAAGTCAGGGGCGGAACTACAGTGCCGCCAGACCCCGCAATGCGGGGGGGGGGGGGGCCAGGCCGATTGGGGGCCCAAAAATCCTGGCTAAATTATTTAAAAATTTTTTTTTAAATTTAAATAAAAAAAATTAGGTGGATGTCGAGTTATGTTTCTTCTACAGTTACAAACAAACACGATGGTCGGCAAACGTCTTTGAGAAAAATGCACAGACTATAGCTCGAGAGACCGCTAGACATATAGACAACTTCAAAGACGCAGCCTACCGTTCTTTTGTAGTTGCGTCGATTAGGAGAACAAAAAAGCTTTGAAAATCGGGTTGGGGAAATGTTGCGGCGACTATCCTGGTCTTCTAGACGACCGGAAAAAGTCGGCACTATTGATGTAGATGTTCATCGGCGCTTTCTTGTCCCCTTCCCTTGAACCTTCCCAACTCTCTACCCTCCCCCCATCCCCTTAACCTCTAACCCTCATCACACCCTTACTCTTACAATAAGATGTAATGCATAGATTAACTAACCGTTTATGAACTACTGAACTGTAAACTGACCACTTCTGAACATTTTGTAAAAGACACTAGTCAGTAGTTGTTCATTTACCTGATGAAGTATTTCGTTGACGAATCTAATTCACACAACAAGGAAGGTAAGACTCGTCTTTATATTATTAATCGTTTTATAATTAGTACACGTATTAATGGAACATTAGTTATTAACACTAAATACATTAAAGTTAAAAAAATTTAGGATACAATGATTTAGCTTTTAAGCCTAAAAACAACCAAAAGATCTATACAGGGGCGGAACTACAGTGCCCCCAGACCCCGCAATGCGGGTGGGGGTGGGGGAGGCCGTTTAGGGGCCCACTGCTGACCATAATTAGTATTTTTTTAAATTTTGAATTTAATTTTCGTGCATTTTTGCCTTGATATTTAGTTTGTAAAAGAAAAACACTGTAGCTGCGGTACGATTATCTTTATTTTACAGTCGCTATACCACGCTCTTCAGCAAAAAAATAAAATCCATTACACAAAATACAGTGTAAAATATAGGCAACGCTTCAAATTTGAATGACACATTTGACTCGTTGCCCCCCTTTGATAGCTAAATAGAGGACACGTAACTGTTTGACCGATCATCCAAAGTGTACTGTGGCGGATGGGTGGGGCAGGGGATGGGGATAACATTTCTTTTTATTTATAGTTGTATTTTTTAACCATCGTCAAGGCCGAGTTCTATTTCCCCACGATGTCGCCGGCAAAATTCTTTTTAAAAAAAACAACAAAGACCATAGCACTAGAAGCCGCTACATATGAAGTGGCTTTCATGATGCGCGGTTCTTCTTTGCGGCATTAGTTAGGGACCCGCCGAAATCCATTGAACATTTTTCAATGTTAATATGTGTTAGTGATAGTGGTTGAATTTGTATTCTGTACTATCTTGTATCCTACAAATAATAAAAAAGAATATAATACTAGAAACTTCGTTTTTATATACGTTTACTTGTTTTTTACTTTTACAAGAAATATCATAGTAAACTGTTAAGGCCTATACTTGGAATTATCTCCCCTGAGTAAGTTTTACAATGGGCGATGGTACATAGGCGCTTTGTTGTCTCTTTCAAGATTTTTCCCGAGCCGACCCCCATCCCATCCCTCTTTTTTAGCCTCGCAAGTATCGAGTAGATCAATGTATCGTTTATGAACTACTTCCTAACCGCACGATTCACCACTTTAGTACATTTTGTCAGACACTAGACAGCACTAGTCAACAGATATTAATTTATTTGCATACTATTAGTATTAGGCACATCTTAACCAATTCACAAAACAGGGAAGGTAAGATTATTTTTTATATAATTATTTAGAAATTAATTAGAACGTTTAGAAGTAATTGAACATTATTATATAATTAATAGTCAATTACTATTTATAAATGACGTTATTGAGGTGGGGGTGTATGAGGGTCTGGCTTTTTGTTAGTCGTTAAAAAATGTGACGTCATTTGTGGATTCCCCCCCCCCCCCTAAATCAGAAGGTTATCCGACGCGTGAGCTGGCCACATACAGTTGTACATGTGAAAAACATGTTTCTGTCTATTTTGCTGCTTTGCATTACTGCATCATTTACCCAATCGCCATGAAATCTTTGGAAGCTGTTGAGGACAGCCACGCAAAGGTTTCTGTCATAGGCTAACATTTGTTTACATATTGGAGTGGGGACGCCCAACGGAAATATGTGATTTAGCGCCCCGAGATCTTGCATAAGCGGATGAGGTTACTACTTGAAATCACCGGCGACAGTGTCATCCTGAGCGCATCACATATGAGCAGGTTGGCCCCCACATCCAGTCGTTTAAAAGTTCCCACAACACTAGGCATAAGTCTCGCTACTACACTCGCTGACTAAATCTAATCAAGTGTTGCACCAATGTTTCTTCCAGACTGCCGGAAGAAACAATGTGTCGCGCCCATCCCCTGTGCAGTAATGTAACCAGTGTTTCTTCCAGACTTTTTTCTCACTTGAAATTTTCGGGGGGGGGGGGGGCGGTAGACTGTTAAAAGTATATATTTTCTATATAAAGTATATAAATTTCATTTCGTTCGGGGGGGGGCGGTAAAAGAGATGCCTGGAAGAAACTCTGAATGTAACCGGTAGCTCTCAAAAGCCCCGTGACTCCCCTGACACCTGGGCCGTCGCCGAGGGACTTAAAGCATGCCTTGGCGTGTCTGGTTGGTAGAAATGAACTGCCGAAATTGTTAATATTTAATTCAACTTCTGGTAAACAGTGCACACGTCTAAAAATACACGGTTGGTAACGTTTTGATAAAAGCCTCTTAAAAATCATCGTCAGTTTAGTGTGTTGGGCTAGATTTAGAGAGTCGGTGTTTCTCACTTCGAAAACTTAATGGGGGCATATATATATACTAGCTGCATCCCGTGCTCCGCCACGGTAAATCTTTTTTAAATGTACCAACTTTGGAACAGAACAAAACAAACAAAAACATAACACAAACACAAACAAAACACAACCACAACACAACACAACCACAACACAACAAAACAAACAAAAACATAACACAAACAAAACACAATCACAACACAACCACAACCACAACACAACCACAACCACAACGACAACACAACCACAACACAACCACAACACAACCACAACATAACCACAACACAACCACAACACAACCACAACACAACCACAACACAACCACAACACAACCACAATACAACCACAACACAACACAACCACAACACAACCACAACACAACCACAACCACAACACAACCACAACACAACCACAACACAACACAACCACAACACAACCACAACAATAGAATCACCAACGAACAACACGCTTTTCTTAGGCATCCGCGCCCAGAGAGAGCCTTTCCAGCATTCTCTATACTATAATTCTAAATTTTCACCATCTGTTAACACCGAAAAACAAAAACAAAAAAATAGTGATTTTGAGAGATCATAGTCTAATTAGAAAATAATGTAAATAATCTTAACATTTTTTCTATTTTACTTAACATATAATAATCAATGTGGAAGTAATAAAAAAAATTAACTTAATTTATTGAGAGTGAGTTGAATATTTAAAAAAAAACATTTTCCCATACGTCCGCGCTCAGAGAGAGCCTTTCCATTATTCTCAAAAAGTCTAATTTCACCATCTGTTTTCATAACACCGAAAAACAAAAGCAAAAAGATAGTGATTTTAGAGAAATCATAGACTAATTAGAAGAAAAAAATAAATAATATAAATAATCTTAACATTTTTCTCTTTTAATTATGAACATTAACATATACTAATCAATGCGGTAGTAATACAAAAAAGATTAACTTAAATTATTGTTGAGATAAATATATTTTCAAATTACCTCCCTTGAAAAAAATTACCACAAAAAAAAGTTGAATTAATTAGTTTTTTCGACCTAATTTTATGGAAATGTATCCATTTTTTCTAGGAATATAAACTAAAATGATATTTGACATTGATCTTTTTAATATGTTTTAGCAATGTGCGAATATTTAATATTTTCATAACGTTATGCAAAAAAGTAAACACAGTGTCATTTATAAAATAGCTCTATGCCGCTATATAAACAAACCCTACTCTAACACTTATAATAAGACACTGCGGTGCACTGAAAAGCACAGCATGGTGTGTAGTTTACTTTTATAGTCCCAAAATCTATAGCGATGACGGACGGACGGAAGGAAGGAAGGACAAGCACAGCCCGCTTATATTATACTAGCTGCATCCCGTGCTCCGCCACGGTAAATATTTTTTAAATGTACCAACTTGGGAACAGAACAAAACTAAACACAACATAAACGAACGCAAAAAAAAAAACAAAAAAAAAAGAAAAAACAAACACAACACTCATAACATAAACACAATTTAAATGCAATCATAAAGGCATATTGCTCACAGTCTAGCCCGTAGCGCCAAATCGCGCCCTTTCCAGTGATTTGCACCCCCCTCAAACTTTCGATTTGCACCCCTCCCCCCCCCCCGCCCTAAAACTTTCGATTTCCACCCCCCCTCGCAAATTTTTTCCAACCCACTTTGGCGCCCCCTAAGGTCGGCACCCGGGGACATATGCCCCCCCCCCCCCCCCCCATCGCAACGCCTCTCCTATAAAACCCCTAGCTTGTCCGCAAACCGACAGAATAATAATTAGAAAACAGTATAAATAATAGGCAGTATTTAAAATATCCGTGTTTTACCTACAATATTTCACTTTATCCATTCACGCATTTTTTTTCCAGTACTTTAAATTTTAAAAATTTACAATTGAGTTTCATAACTAAAACCATTGCGCACCTAATGAACGTGATGACGCGCCTATAATAGTGCTGAATAGTTGATTAAAAATTATAAGTAATAAACAGTAGGGCCTACATTCAGTGAATAAAATAAATAAAAGATTGCCTTTTATCAATCCATGCTAATTATAATTTTCTAACAATAATTTCGTCTTACACATACGAATAATTTGCATTCACATTTTGCTAATTATATTATTGCAACACTAATTCCTTCTATGACGAAAGTATATTTGCATTCACATTTTTTATTAGCGTGAGTTTAACGTATTTTTAAAATACCTCCTTTGTCAAAATTAGAAAAGAGTTAAATTAATTTGATTTTTCTACCCTACTGTTATTATGTTATTAAAATGTATCCACTTTTTCTGGGAGCCTAAACGAAAATGATATTTGACATTAATCTTTTTAATACGTTTTAGCAGTTTGCGTGTATTTAATATTTTCTTGACGTTATGCGAAAGAGTAAAAACCGTGGCAATTATAAAATAGCTCTATGCCGCTATATAAACAAACCCTACTCTACTACTTATAATAAGACACTGCGGTGCACTGAAAAGCACAGCATGGTGCGAATGTTTACTTTTATAGTCCCAAAATCTATAGCGATGACGGACGGAAGGAAGGAAGGAAGGACAGACACAGCCCGCTTATATTATAGATATATATATATAGGGGCCCAAAAAAAAATTCTGCGGGGGGGCCTTTTTTTTCTAGTTCCGCCACTGCTAAAAGTTTACAATAAAAAAAAAATAAACAAGATAGCTGCTATAGTAAATGAGCATGGTTGCATCTGTTGGAAACATCGCCAGTCTTCATTTATTACTAAGAAGTTTTAATTCAATTGTTTAAAAACAGGGGGTGTTGGGAGATTGCGAGACGCGAAAAGCGAAATGGCGAGGCGGGAAAATGCGAGAAGATAATCCGAGACATACCTGCGGAATTAAGGGAAAATAGCGAGACACTTTTTGCGAAAAAAAAATTCATGTTTTTAGCGCAATTTCCATTCTGGAGAATTGCGTTTATTAACCCGTCATTTCTGGATGTATGAATGGATGAATGGATGTGTGTCCGCAGCTTTAAGTCGTATCTCCTCCTCAACGAAGCAATATCGATGACTAGTTCCAAAAGCAATTATGTTAAGCAAGTTACGAGGATGAGCATAGGCCAAAAAAATTCCGGGTTTCTTTCATGGATTTCCCGGAAAAGCCAAGATTTTATTATATAGATAGATACTAAGAAGATATATAGATCTATATCTAGATCTATCTATTTAAAAGTCCTAACATCGTTGCTGTGCTACTGTCATCGCCCGCTCTCGTTAGCGAGAGGAAAATCCCGTCTCAGTCGGCATTAATTTTAAAAATCTAGCCCGCTCATGTTTATACAAAATTTCTATGCAACAATAGAAAATATGTTTCCGGCGGCCGCGGATCCGGTGATCTTCAAAGACGGTAAATCAGGCGGCCTCGGCGTTCCACACAAAAGACAGAAGTTGATCTATCGTCGGCGGTATTTCCGTCGGTTTCGAACAAGGTGGTATTACATAAGTCGACACAAAAGGTGGGGGAGTTGACAAATCATCAGTATGTCTAGCGACGAAAAAATCGGAAGTTTTAACAATGTAAACGAAACGTCTTTGAAGTCTGGACCAAATACCACTGAAAATCGGGTGCGGTAAATTTTTCGCAGAAATCTTCGCATTTCAACACCACCCAGCGTAAGTATCGGGTTGTGGTAAAATGCGAGACAAAAAGTCACGTGACCGACCGTTTTCGCGCCATTTCGCTTTTCGCGTCTCGCAATTTCCCCAAACCCAAAAACAGGTAATATAATGAAACAAGGAAACATTTTTGTATTTTTCAAAACATAAATCCTCCTCAAAATGTGAAATAATTATTAAAATTTAATGAGTCACCTGTTTTTCACATTACTAGTCGCGGGCGATTTTACGTACCTAAAACTAAAACGATAGATACCCATTTACTGGCATTTACTTTACCGTTTACCTTAATGTCAAAGCCAACCTTTCTTCTGGTGAGATGCAGACTTCAAAATTACTTTCCATTCCTTTTGGCTTTATTACAATGTCAATGCCAGTCAGTATATACTTAAAAGTTTCATAATTCATTCCGAAATATTCAACAAATTTAGCAGGCTGCTTTATCAGATGTGGAAACAACGTATGAAATTCACCATATCTTTCCCTATCAGAGAAAAGGGGATTTTTCCATTCACTTCTCTGTTTCTCGACTTCGGCAGTAGGGTCAGTAGGCCTACTTTCACTTTGAAACAACAAAAATGTATGAGGACTGCTTTCTAACAAAAAACACACCTGCCCAGCCATTTAATACAAGTTTTCTATGTCTAGATTTTCTAGATGAAATGGATGAAGATCACTGTCCAATTTCAAATGTTTGTGAAGTAAAAAAATGTTCTTTCAATTCTAGCCTAGATCTAGAGATCTAGATTTTTCTAGATCTTATGATCAAAGTTCTAATGTAAGGATTACCCGCCAAAGCGCACAGCAGTGGCAATTAAATATGCCTGGAACTTATATTTTAGGCATTTTTAGGCCTAAATCTAGTAGTGGGCCAAATTTAAAGATTCTAAATCTAGATCTCTAATTCGGAGTTCAACAGGACTCTACATCTGGAAACTCGGTAGACTAGGCTAGGCCTCCTAAATTATACTTTTATAAAGCTATTTTCCGCGGGCAAACAACAAATTTAGATCTAGATTCTAGACTAGTAGTTAGCAGATCTAGTTAGAATCTACGGGTGTGCCACATTGGCTCTTTAGTTTGCTTAGTCATGAATGGAAATATTTTTAGTTTCTTAGGGCCTGCAACATTTATATATTTAAAAGATCTAGGCCTATTTACAGATATTTAGAATAAGAATATGTACTAATCTACTATTAATAATCCAAAATCATAAAGACCTAGAATTTTTAGCTGTATCATTATCAATGTCATTATCAAGTCTCATGGAAGGCCAAGAATTTAGATCTAGATATCTATTACTAGATCTAGTATTACATAGTACATAGAAGAATGATAGAGTAAGTGATACAAATTTTTATCTTATTTATTTAATATTTAGGCCTTCTAGTATTATTTACTGCCCTATAAATTATAGTATAATATTAATAATTAGGCTATAGGCCTAGTTATTATAATAATATATAATACATTGTCGGCCTAAGTTAATAACTTCAGCATGCTTGAGATTGAGTCTAATATTTTCCAATTTAATCATATTTATTTTATTACTTTAATTTCAAAGCAATGTCTGTTTACACTTGGGGACTTGGTAAAAATGGCCAGCTTGGTACTGGAAAAGCTGAGACTTTACACACACCACAGCTCTTAACAAAAGCATTTGCTGGACATCCTCTTGATTTAGTTCATCAAATCAGCTGTGGTGCGCTGTTTACAGGCTAGTCATTTTGTTACTTCATGTTTTAACTTTTGAAGTTGCTTCACGTCAGTTGAACCTATTAATATTAATAAAATGAAGTCTTAAGGGTTGTCTATAAATGACTACTAAGTCCTGAAGGGGAAGGGGGATTTCTTTATTTTGTGATGGGGGGGGGGGGTGGCTTACATCTGCATTTTGAAAAAGTAATGTTAGAAACTGAATTTTAGCATTTATTTTTCCTTTTTTGAAAACTGTTTCCATAAATTATATTAGAAATTTATTAGAATAATGTTGACAGAGCACAGTCAATATTTGAGAAAGAAATCAATGTTAAAAAAATTAAAATGGGGAGGGGGGGGGGTTACTAATAACAATAGAGTGGCTTCATTTATGGATGACCCCTTTGGACTTTGGATTTATATTTAATAGTTTATAAGACATGTAGATCTCTCAGTTCTTTGAAATTTTGAAATTCAGTGAATTTTGAAATTTATTTTTTGTTTTAGCTATTGTAACAAAAAAATGGAAATTTATATACTTGTGGATGTGGAAAATTTGGTCGCCTTGGACTTGAAAGTAAAGAAGAGGACACGCTAATGTTTACAGCTGTAAACCTGGCCGGAAAGTTAGGAAAAGTGAATCAGGTAAGCATTGGAAGGTATAGGCTACATAGCATTAGCATGTAGTAGTAATGGAATATACATCACTGTTTGAATTCATATGGAGTAGTCCTATTATTTCATAATTTAGATTCATTTACTTTTAATAGGCAGTAAGGTTTTTATAGCACAAAACTATAAATATATTTTTTCAGGTGTCCTGTGGATCTTGGCATGCATCAGCTGTGACAGAATCTGGTCAGATTTTCATCTGGGGCCATAAAAAAGCTGCTGGGAATGCTGTTGGTACCAGTACATCTGATGGTTCCTTGTCAGGGCTGCCACGCCTCCTGTCATTTACAGCTGAACTTAGAATTGCTGGTATTTCTTAATAATTCAAGCAGTTAGCAATGAACATTTATTTCTTCCCTAGAAAATATATAGCACTTAACCTTCCAGAGAAATCAGTTACAGAAATAACAGATAATGAAATAGTGTAGGAACACTTTTTTTCATAATTTTTTTCACTTTATTCTCTAGTATAATATATATCAGAATATAAACATAAAAAACTCAGGTTACTAAATTCTAAATGTCATTTTCTTTTCTTTACTTGTAGGCTGCAATACATTTCAATGTCATGTTTCTTCAATTGTGCTCAGGTGTGTCTTGTGGACATAACTATACCTATGCCTGGACTGTGGATGGTCAAGTGTTTTCTTGGGGAAGTGGACATTGTGGAGTGCTAGGTCATGGGTCTGATAAAGACTTTCTACAACCTACAAAAGTGAATAAGCTGTCAGAAGTGACAGTGAAAAGTATTGGGGCTGGTCACAGCCATTGTGGCATTGTCACAGCTGATGGTTTATTGTTTACTGTTGGTAAAGTCTACTGCATTTCTTTATGTTGTTAATTAGGTTATTAAAATTAAGATATCTTTATTTTCTACTGTTCATATTTAATTAAATCAGTGCCAATAGCTTTTTTTACTTTACTTTCTAATAACCATGAGCTTAATAAATTTAGGTCATGCAAAAAATAAAAATATAGATTTGGAGAATGCTGTTTTACTCCTTGCTGAATCAGAAATGTGTTTGTGTTCTCTCAAAAACTTCAAAACTTGAGTACCGTTTCAGTTAGGCAGACATATATAGGTATTTGATCCTATAAAAAAGTTTCTTCTAAGTTTTGAGTGATTTCCGGTGACCAGAAGTAGTACTTTACTCCATTTCAATCTTTGTAAATACCAGAATTTAATAATTTTGTAGCATAAAACAGCATATAATCTAAGAACTGTACAAAAATTAATTACTTTTTTCACAGGAAGTATTAATTTCACAAATCTAACATTTCTACTGCTCGACCCACTGGAAGTTGTGGAAGTGCCATTCCAACCCTTACTTTATAAAAATGGAAGGTTTAGTGGAGCTGACGTGCTTTTTTTTTTCTGCATCTCTGAGCTTTTATATCCAAGGCTACCCCCAGAAACATAATATTTATAGGCTTAGAGATTCTTTTAGAATGTAAATTGTTTTTCTTTTGACTCACCTCAAAGGTAAAGGACGCGACGGTGCTCTGGGTCTTGGGAAATCTCTGCTGAATGATGTTTTCTATCCAACTAAATGTTCAACTGATGAAGATATTATTGCTGTCAGTTGCAGCAAGGGAGATCACCATGGCCACACTTTAGCTCTAACTAAAGAGGGGAAAGTCCTGTCTTGGGGAGATGGATATAAAGGGAAACTAGGACTTGGCCATCATGTGTGTATTAAATTCTTTCATTGAGACTTATAATTTTTTAAAATGTACACTTTAATATAAATTGCTAATGTTTGTTTTACTCAAGTTATTATTTTGAAATAATCAGTCTCCTTTACTTTACATTCCAAGCTGACTAGCATTTCAATGTAAAAGTATTTTTAAAAAATTTACTATTTTAAAATATGTTAATTTATATATTATTGTATTGATATGGAAAAACTCATATGCGTAGTTAAAAAAAATAAGTCTGGTATTATGAGTTGATGAAAAATGTATTGCATTATTCCCAGAATGTAATGTACAGCCCATCAGCCATACCTCAAGAATATTTCAGTGGTGAGAAGGTGGTGTCCTTAGCTGCAGGGGGCATTCACTCCTGTGCTGCAACACTGACTGGTAAAGTCTACACTTGGGGATGTGGAAGCGATGGTCGCCTAGGCCATAAAGATGGAGAAAAGCACAGATATTTATTCCGCTCAGACATTCCAAGATTAGTAGAAGATTTGCCCAAAAATAGCAATTATGTTGCAGTAAGCTCATCATATTATCATACAGCTGCACTCATTGATTAGTTACACCAAAGTAAAACTAATGACATTTTTATTGAAAACTGTAGATACAATTATGTTATTGTAACATTATCTACGACTAGGAACAACACAAGGAGTCAGACTAAATCTTCTACAAAGAATTAATATAAAGGGATAACTGCTACCTACCTTTAATTATAAAATGCAAGTTTCATATTTCTGTTGTCATTCGTATCAGCACTTTTCAATAAAGATCTAAATATTTTATTGTTTACACATATTAATCTTTTATTTAAATTTAAACATGTTCGATTGATCTCAGTTTTATCTTTTTTGCAGTACAATGTTTACAATTTACTACTTCAACAAGACTATTATTTTCTTTCATGTATGCATATTGCAGCTTTTGACAATAAATTTTATTAAAATCTTGAATTTTGTGTTAATACATTTGATAAAATTAGAATTTTCTTTCAATATATTTGAGAGAAAAATTATCAGTTTTAAAAAAGTTAGTTACTATTGTCATTTGTATTTGTTTATTCCATAAGAAACATTGATGTGTTATTGCAAATAAGATGTTGACTTCTTTGAATCGTTAAATATACACCTGTAATAATGTTTGTTAGATAATTAAGGATTATTAATAAGTTAATGGCATAATGCAATTGGTCCTTTTGAGAGTCTACTGAGCATAGTCAAAACAAGAAAATTGAGTTGGTACGGTCATGTCACAAAACCAAACAGCCTATCACTATCAAACACAAAATTGCAAGGCACTGTGCTAGGAATAGAAAAGCAAAGACGTGACTGGATGGATGACATCAAGGCGTGGATTAGGCTGCTAGTCTCAGAACTAATCTGAGGACCGAGATGGATGGTTGAGAACTTTAAGGTAAAGCAAATAAAACTGATTTTCAAAACAGACTAATGCACTCGCACACATGACATGTTGTTGTAATTTGATTTAATTGAAAAAAAAAAACTTTTTTCAAAGCCCTATCAGGCCAGCAATGAGTATCCTATGTTCGTATTTTGTGTTTATATATATATATATATATATATATATATACACAGGGGGGGGGGCTAAAAACTTGCGGGGTAACCCTGTTTTTCTAGTTCCGCCACTGCGTCAACCATTAGTCTACAATAGGGAGTTATACAAAGAGATCAACTGCTACTTACGATGGATAGTTTTAAATGATATAAATATTATGTAATGTATGAGTATTTATACGTCCTAATTATGTATTTATACTATACTAGCGTACCCGTCCCCGCTCGTTGCCGCGGGAATAGAAGAAACTCCGACGAAATATATAAGAGGTAAACGGAAAAAAAGTCACAGGAAAAAAAAACACAGAAAAAAAGTCACAGTTTTTGCTAGGAAAAAAAGTCACAGAAAAAAGTCACAGTGGAAAAATTTTATCGGAAAAAAAGTCACAGAAATAAAGTCACAGAAAAAAAGTCACAACAATCTTTTTAGAAATATTTTTATTAATTTGTTAAGAATTGTAAAATTTTGTATGTTTATTGTTGTGGGTTGTATTTTTTGATAGCATGAATTATTTATAGACGTTAAAAGCATTATGATTTATAATAATTGTAAGTAAAAATACTCTAAGATAATTAACACAACAATCTCAACTTTTGTTACGTATTTAGTTAAATACGCGGTAGAAAAGTTAATTATAAAAGAAATTTAGGCACATTTTGCCTTAGGCTATTCTCTGGTCGGCCTCTCCTCAGTAGGCATTGTCCGAACATATTTTGTGTTGTTGACGTTATGCGTCAATTAACAGCCTTTGAACCTTGTCGGCTTTCTGTTTTGATCCTAAGTTTTGTTATGTAATGAGCGTGATACATGTGGGCAGTAAAGGTGGTTGAACTAAACATAACTATTGTTGCCATGAGTTGAGGGCAGCAAGTCAGATGAACTTACCATTTCACGGTAATTTAATGGTATTTAAAAATAACACGATGAAAACCGTGGACTCTGGAGCATTCTATTAAATGCTACTAATCTTAAGTTTAAAATAAGTACAATCTACATACTTCATAATAAATATTTTTAGATGAATTATAAAAATTCCTATGCGTATACAGCCTACACACATTACATTACATTTAATTAATCCTAAGTTAATTTGCACTCTCTAAATATTTAATATATAAAAGTATTAACAAATATCATGCAAATATATATTTGTGACTTTTTTTCCTGTGACTTTTTTTCCTGTGACTTTTTTTCCTGTGACTTTTTTTCTGTGTTTTTTTTTCCTGTGTTTTTTTTTCCTGTGACTTTTTTTCCTACAATCATATAAGAAGGGTTTGATCCAAGCGTTACCAATCATATGTTCTTAGACGCGCGACCTTCTTTTCTAAAAGTAAGTTATTTAAATGTAAACAATGCCTGCGCTTTGATCATAAATATCGGGACACGTGTTTACCTACACTACCGCATGAAAACCTTGAGTGTACATTAATCACTCACCGAAATAATATGGTAGAACACACTTCGGTAACCGCCCATGTGTCAGAGACGTAGAGGGGCGCTCTCAGGAGCCCCCCCCCCGATTACACTACCGCATAGGTGCGGCGTACGACCCCTGGCTCCTTAAAACTATCAGGCGCCATCGTGCCAAATAGCATTCTGTTAACAATGATGCAGATTGCGTCATTCACTAAAGTGACACAAATGAACAGGATTTGCTATTTAACACGTAAAAAATTATTTCACGTGTTTTAAACATCAGTGTGACTGATGCATTATGTTAGCGTTACTAATGGTCTATTCTTAGATGCTCGATCTCAATTTCTGATTGGATTATCTAAAAATAGATGCTAATTGCATCATTCGCAAAGTGGTGAAACTGTTTGGATTTTTTTACGGACTAAAAGAAACATCCAAGTTAATAATCTAACCTTGGTTAACTTTTCTTATTATTAAAATAAAATGTATTACATGGCCATCAGCGGCCCATGTGAGCCTTTGGGGACCGAAACAGACATTTTTATTTGCAGCCTTATCGCACCCTACCAGGGCACCAGAGGACACGCTGGATTCAATTTAGTGAGCGCTTGTAACGCCCCATCCTATCCATCGTCTATCACACTGTTTAGACCGAACGTAGTCACCATAGCGCTCACGGGAAAGACCAGTTTCGATTTAGTAATCGATTTTAGTATCACTCCGTATTCCTAGGTTATGGTGCTCATTAAAACGAGTACAGGGTTACACGACCGCCGGGGCGCCTGTCGGCTAATGCGCCTGTGCAGTATGACTGCTGGACCAAGTCGTAACGCTGACCCGCAGCGCCGGACACCCAAACAACGGACCGCAGGTGCAAAGATAGCGGTTGGGAAACTCTGGGTGGCAAAACGCACAGCCTTACTGACGGGATCGCCCTCCGAAATAAAATAAAAATGTAATGGCAGAAACCTTCTCCAAAGTCTGAGTTTCTTTAAAGCACATTTTCAGAAAAATGTCTAGAATAAAAACCCTGCCTGGAGTATTCTCAACCGCTTTCTAAAATTTCTTGGCGTTTGGAAACCAAAAGCTGGTGTTAGTACTGTCATATTGATTAAAGATTAATTAGTTTAAGCAAATGAAATGTCATTAAAGTAAAAATTAGTAGAAAAATATTGATAAATGTTTGACTTCGCTTGTTGTGAAAACATTGTCAATGGTTGTTAGTGCTATTTAATTTAAAAACAAAAATCGTTCAGTTGTTATTATTGATGTTTAGTAGGATGGAAGTTCGGGCAGGCAGACAGTTGCACGACAAAGCCAGTAATGTTATTATTACGGATGGGCCCTGTTCGACCCCCCCCCCCCATTGAATCATACTGCCTGTACAGTTGGAATGGACTATGGGCCTTTTTGGAACGTTTAACCTTTTTCTTTTATAAATTATTCATATAAAACAAATTTTAAAGTTCCAATAAAAAGATTTTAAATTTTTTTAGAGGGAAAAGGGTTCCTATGTGCCTTGGGCCCCAAAGCCTTGCTTAAAGCTAGCTTTACGGTAGCTACGCCACTGGGTAAGCCCTGAGTAAGCTAATCAAATAATTTGCTTGAATCTGTATCTTACACCGCATTTATATTTGCAACATGTTTAGTATACATGTCTAGTGGAAAATAACTCGTAGCAAGTTAATGTTATATTATGAAAAAAAATTATTCCGTGGAATATGTAATGATCCACTAACTTGCTGTGATTTTTTCCTAGATGTTATATATGTATATATATATATATATATAACTAATTCGAGATCTAGATTTTATAGTATAGACTAGTCTACATGTCGCAAGTGTAAACGCGGTAGGCTAACATCGTTTGCACATCTTAACATTAGAGTAGTTTCCCTTAGCTTTAGTAGTTTATGAAAGCATTTACTAAGATCGTCTAGAATCTACATTATTCTACTTCATTTTTGAAAGCTAGATATCTAGATCTAGATCTATACTCTAGATCTAGATTTAGTTCTAGAAGTCTAATTTAAAATTAGGCCCAGAATAAAATCCGTGGCATTGATTGATAGTTGACGTGTAAGCATGCTTATAATAATTTAAATAATATTAATAAATAATAAAATAATCATTAGGCCTAGGCCTATCTTTATGCCTGGTAATCTATCGTTTTGGGTACGTAAAATCGCCCGCGACTAGTAATGTGAAAAACAGGTGACTCCTTACATTTTAATAATTATTTCACATTTTGAGGAGGATTTATGTTTTGAAAAATACAAAAATGTTTCCTTGTTTCATTTATGTACCTGTTTTTAAACAATTGAATTAAAACTTTTCAGTAATAAATGAACACCAGCGATGTTTCCAACAGATGCAACCATGCTCATTTACTATAGCAGCCATCTTGTTAAAGTTTTATTTTTATAGACTTATAGCGCCAGATTCAGGCGGAAGTCACTCTATTTTACAAATGGCTGCTGTTTATATAGCAAATCTTGCTTGCAGACACTGCTGTTTAAAGTTAATTTCTGGCCTATATTGATATATTTAGCCATTGATTTAGGTTTATTATTCATTTATCTATAATATTTGACACAAACATATCACAATATACTTCTATTACAGCCTTGACAATGAGGTAACGTTTTCGTACATTAATAGCCGCGGGCGATTTTACGTACCCAAAACGATAGATTACCATCTTTATTAATTATTATTTATTAAGTCTTTATGAATATGATTATCAGCCATAGACCATTGACCATAGAAGTAGAATAGATGCCAGTTTCGTGGGGGTTTTTTTGGTTGGAAAGAAATTCAGCATGATATTATTATTATTATTGATATCAAACGATATGATAAAACAAAAATGATGAGTTACAAATACAATCTGAGTTAACTAAGTTCTAACTGATCAGTGGTTGAATTGAGTTTGACTGACAGTTTCAGTTATTGCCAATATGGGGTGAATATATGCCAATAACTTATTCACTTATTCAAGACTTAGGCCCTATTGGTACAATAATTTTTTTTTACAATAATAAAGCAAGCAGAGGGGAGAATGTTTATACTTTATACCAAAACCAGTGTCCGATAATGGAATCTTCTTTAAAAAAGGGGTGTTAGGTTACTGGTAGTTAACTAAGTATACACATCGCTGGCTAATGTCAATGCTAACTCTGTCCCTAACCCCAACCCCAATCCTGGTTCTACCATCCTAACCCTAATGGACACCAGTAAGTTGACGAAAATCCTTCCGTAATGTTGTTGACATGGAATAAAAATGTGCTTTTTTAGATTAAGGACCATAAAAATAATAAAAGATAAAATTTTATTAAAAACTTAAGCCTAAAATTTATTCAAAAATTTAATATTTTTAGAATCAATGCTTTACAAGTTGCAGATCCAGAGAACTTGAAAATAATTTGTTGAGTTTAAGGCTACATTTCTATTTATTTTCATCAAGCCTAAGTTATAACCCGTTGTTTCACTTTCATAAGACAAACATTGATTGGCTGTAAAGGAACTCCGTGATCGATTTCTGACAGCCCCACTTTATAGTTATTTTGTTTACAAAACTTTGCAGATCAAGTTTTTAAATAACAATGCAAATTTAAACACCATGACCTAGTTTTTCTATTTTTAGCTTACAATGTGTACAGTAAAATTTATGGCGGCTTATCGAATAGCAGGATGCCATTGTTTTTGCTTTTTTTTTAAATTTTTATTTAGTTACCGAAAATATTAAAAACATCGATTTCTGACAGCCCCACTTTATAGTTATTTTGTTTACAAAACTTTGCAGATCAAGTTTTTAAATAACAATGCAAATTTAAACACCATGACCTAGTTTTTCTATTTTTAGCTTACAATGTGTACAGTAAAATTTATGGCGGCTTATCGAATAGCAGGATGCCATTGTTTTTGCTTTTTTTTAAATTTTTATTTAGTTACCGAAAATATTAAAAACATCAAATACATCCAATCTTTAGTAAAGTCCGAAAAAAACCAGATAGACAGGATTTTATAACCATACTAATTGTAACTACGCCGTGCAAGAGTTTAAAATTAATTTATGGACCTCTCAAATAACTTTGAGACTTTTCTCGCTGGTGTCCATTTCTAACCATAAAATTAGTCGAGATTAAAATACTACTAACAATCAAAACCCCTTTTTTAAAGAAGATTCCATTATCGGACACACCGGTTTCTATAATCATCCCAAAAGGGGGAGTTATAAAAATCACTTGGTCATATAAAGAAGCAGAAAAACAATGTAAGCCTATACACAATTAATTAATTAGGCCTATCAGTTACAATTAATAGTCATCAGTTAATTACTTTGTTGGAACTGGAATAGATCTTAAACTGTTTTTTTTTTGTTGTGTCCATCATATCCAAGTGCACAATTTTTTATTTTATTTTTTGTTTACCAATCATATTGTTTACAGCACATTTTAAAATAGAAGAAAAAAAATTGCACTAGGTTAAGATTATTGGAGTTGAACTACTTTTGCTATAAACGTGAGAGGAATGCGTGCATGAATGGTAAAGCATATGAAAGTCTTGGGTAGAATGTCCTTAGTCCTCCTAACTCTAATGGGTACCTGACTCACATTTAGAAAAGTTAAAGTTGCTTGGCATAGTGCTACATATGCTAAGGTCACAGAAACAGGTGAACTCTATTTCTTTTGAGCTATGGATCTTCAGGTTCAAAAGGTAGCTTAAAGCTATAAGCTAAATACAAATTATTCTAATTAGGCCTAAAAACAATTCAAACATGTAGGCCTATGGTTTCCCCCCGATATTTTTTTTTCTTCTTATTTTAAAATGATAATTCGCTAGTTGTCAAGGGAAGGTTTGAATGCTTATTCCCAGTCAAATGGAGAAATCAACAACTGTCTGTAAATGTAAATAAGCCAGCTATGCATTTTTAGCTTTTGATTTGTATCACTTGTAATACTTAAACTTTTGTACACTTTTGTTGTATTGTTAATTTATTAATGATAACATGTCACTTTGTGGATCATTATAATTTCAATTTTTAGAGTGAACTTATTAATACTCTATAAAACTAAAACCTATGAAATGAAGCAAGAAACAACTGCTGTCTTGTAGTTTGTTCTTGTTTGGATATAGGCTATGGAAGCAAATCCAAAAAGAAAAGTAGGCTGGAATCGGAGTCAATGGCCTCAATGGTTCATAACCAGTTGACATGTATACTTGTGTTGGAGGGGATCCCTTCCAACACTAAAAATTAAGAATGAAGTAGAAGAAGAAAAAGCAAGAAACAATTATTTTAAGCTTAACTATCGTTGTCATTTGAATTACCATTGACATTTATCGGTGAACAACTTAACACAATAACAGACTGTATCTTAAACTGTGTCTTTATTCCCCCCAGGTGAGCAGAGATATGTTAAAGATTTTCCATTTACACAAGATCTGAAGTAAAATAAATTAAAATGACATCTATTATAAAACTTCATGCACTATCAGGTGCTCGTGATGAATCACCACCATGCTACATGTTGCAGGTTGATGAATTTAGATTTTTATTAGATTGTGGATGGGATGAAGACTTTAGCATGGACTTTGTAAAAGACTTGCGCAGGTATGCATTTAAAATACAAATAATTTTATTTGTAGAAAGATATGTCGTTCTTTTCAGACATGACAGAAGCTAAAACTGCAAACAGTTTCTAACAGTGCTTCTGTCATAAGGAGCTGAACATTTAAAGAAGGGAGTTTGCAAAATTTATTTGAAAATCAGTAAAATTATTTTTCTGGACAAAGGGCATTCATTTAAAAAATTGGAGCTCATAAATGCTGCACTAGAGGACAGTGTGCAATAACATTTTAAAATGTTTTGAATATATTTACATTTTAGACTCTTTAGTAAGTTAATTGTAATGTTCTGTTCTAATGATCTGTCAATAGAGTTACACACCAAGTTGATGCAGTTCTGTTAACCTACCCTGACCACCTACACCTTGGGGCTTTACCCTATCTGGTCGGCAAAGGAGATCTCAACTGTCCTATTTATGCTACAGTACCTGTTTATAAAATGGGACAGATGTTTATGTATGATCTTTTTCAGGTCAGTTGTTATTACTAGTTTTTATTTTTGTTTGTCATTCCTAAGTCAGATTTAAATTTAGTCATTGGTCCAAATTTATAGAATGGGATTTTAAAATATTTATATTAAAAAAAATCTAGTTAGAGGATAAATAACCTATACTATTGTAAACGTGATTTGGTATATTCAATTGGTTTACTGCAGGATATTTCTTTAAAAAAAGTTCCTGTAATTCATATCTAGTAATAACTGTCCAAATCCATTTTTAAGTTTATTATTTATTTTTAAGTTAAATTTTGTCAAATGATCTGAACTGGTAGAATAGCAGTTAGTTAAGAGATCTGACAAAGAGATTCTGCACTACATAGGAATTTTTATCTACAGTCACGCCACAATAGTCAAGATTTTGACAAGTTTACACTTGATGATGTAGATGTTGCATTCGATAAAATTATACAGCTGGAATACTCTCAAACAATAACACTCAAAGGTTTGTTATCCTTGTAACTATAGTTCTCAGTTTAAATTTTTTTAGGAACAATCTATAATATAAGCGGCCAGGTAGTGTGTCAATCAGTCAGTCAGTTATCGCTATAGAATCTAGAACCATAAAAGTAAACACCACATGCCGTAACTTTACTTGCATCGTATTGACTCATTATAAGTATGAGTAGGGTCTATTTATGTAACGACTTAAATTTTTTTATACTTGGCGAAGTTTTTATTCTATTGCATATCTCAACAAAAAAACGTTCAGAAAATATGCGCACATTGCTAAAACATATTAAACAATGTAAAAAAATATTTTCGCTTATATTCCTAGAAAAAATTGATTTATTTTAATAACAGTACTGTCGAATAAAACTAATCATGTAAAATGTATAATTATGCAAGTGGAGGAAAATTAAGAAATTCAACTCACGCTAAACATTGCTATTTAAGAAATTCTTTTTCTATTCCTACCGCGTTGATTATTATATTAGGGCTCATAATTATAATAGATTAATGTAAAGATTATTTATATTATTTTCTGATTAGTCGATAAAGAGTTTTCAAGCTCTTTTTTATGATCTCTAAATTAACTTTTTTTTGGTTGTGTTTGCGCTGTATTTGTGTTTTTTTTTTGTGTGTTTGCATTTGCATTGCGTTTGCATTTTTGTTTGAGTTTGCATTCGCGTTTGTTTTTTCTTTAGTGTTTTTATTTGTGTTTGCATTTGTGTTTTGTTTTGTTCTGTTCCCATGCTGGTACATTAAAAAAAGATTCACCGTGGCAAAGCATGAGTATGCAGCTAGTTTATATATATTCTAGTAAGTCAGCTGTAGTTGTAATGTTTGGCAAACATATTTTAGATTCTTGTTAATCTTTTTCTTAATTGTGATATGTTATCTTTTTTCCGTGCAGACCCACAAGTTGTCTGAAATATTTTGTCTATTAAATATTTTACCATACATATTTTTGTATATATTAAAATAAGGTAACAGCCTTCGGATGCCAAATTTCCAGCATGTAATTTTTTTATTTTAGGTAAAGGGCATGGGTTACAAATAACGCCGCTTCCAGCTGGTCACATGATTGGTGGGACTATATGGAAAATTGTTAAAGATGGAGAAGAAGAAATTGTTTACGCTGTAGATTACAACCACAAAAAAGAAAGGTAATTGTGCTTTTATCAAAACATTTTATGGTTGTTGAACTATATCCAAGCTTTTACCTATGTTTAGTATTCCTAGGTTTAGTATCAGTATCTAATTTATGAAGAATTATGTTAATTATTATCAATTAATAAGTCTGCTGTTTTAATGCCTTGTGTGTTAAACAAGTGAATAAAGTAAAACAGCTGCTTGTAATATCCCTACTTGTACATGCTTGTGGATATAGAGAGGTAACACAGTATTGATAGTATAAGATTTCCTGTTTTTCAACTGTTATGGATTTGTCTTGAAGATTGACTACATATGTGTCCTTTAACCAACCCCAAAGTAATCATGTCTATAAGCAATATGAACTTACCAAGCACTAGACTATAAACCTGTGCTATGAATTGTGTACCTATACTTAAAAGTCAGCAGAAAAATGTGTATATAATGCAGTATTCCACCATATTTCTACTGTCTACCATCCATCCACACAGCCTATCATTTCCCTCCCATCCTATCAGCTCATATTCTTTGACTCCACCCACACCAGACTATATCCTAGATACAACCCTTTGATATACAAACCTCTACAAGACTACAAAATAAGACACTACAACACAGTAAAATAAACTGGGAGTGATCTCCCCTAAACTTTCTTGAATATTCTGATATAAAACAACAGGGGATGGCAACTTGGGATATAGGCATGATTTTTAAACCATTTTAAATACTTAAACTTTTAAAAATAAAATAGAATCCCGTAGAAAAAACTATTGCACACAGAGTGAACGCCAAATAAAATGTGCATAATGGTGCGGAATACTATTAGTATAAATTTTATAAATTCACATGCGCTTTTTGAGAAATCGGAAAAAGCGTAAATTACTACTTCCGGTCAACAGAAATTACTCAAAATTTGTCAGAAGGTAGAGAATTAGATCTTTTACTTACATGTGAAATTTCATTTATCTATCTGAAATAGTAACACAAGTTATAGGCTTTTGAAAAATCCATAGTTGAAAAAGTACCACTTCCGGTTATCGGAAATCGCTCAAAAGTTGATACGGATCTACGATTTTGATATTATACTCATATTTGAAATTTCATTAACCTAGAAGTAACAGTACTCAAGTTATCGTGTTTACAGACACACACACACACATACACACACACACACACACAAACATACGCACAAGATTGCAAAACTATGTTTTTCCGACTCAGGGAGGTGTAAAACTTCGAGATTTCCAAAAATCTCGATTTTTATTTTGCACGATTACAAGACTTTCTCTATACTTCGTATATACGAGAAAGTAAATGTATCAGTAGTAGCACAAATAAAACCACTAAGCAGAACTATAACACAATTTAAAAAATACATTAAAAACACTGATTGAACAAAACACAACATAGCACACTTCAAACATACAAGACACCACAAAATAAAAAAAAAGACCCTAAGTTTTTAAAGAAATGATTCTCAGCTTGTCTGTGTAAAATATCCCTGTAATTTAACATAATTTTTGTTGAATGTTCTCAGACATTTGAATGGTTGCCAGTTGGATGCCATATCCCGTCCATCTGTTCTGATCACTGACACATTCAATGCTCTTTACAACCAGCCCAGTCGCAGACAGAGAGATGAGCAGCTAATGAGTATGTTCCTACAACTTCTTGCTTCTTCTAAACCTTATTAGCCCCTTAGTTTTTAAAGCAGTTTTATTACTTAGGGCTCTGGTAATAGTGTAAGCATGTGGTCCAAGTCCACCTCAGAAAGCCTTCATAACATTACTAATATATAACATACTATGACTCTATTAAAAACAATAAGAATGCCAAAGCAACATTTAGATGATAATAAACTAAAAATTTGTGTGAAACTCTATGTAGAATAATTTTAATAAAACAGCTAAAAAGTTTGGGTTTTTTGTAGAAAAAAGCTTGCCATTCATAATCATTTTTAGGAAACAAGAATAGTGTTAAAATTTTTGCATAATAATTCGTTACAGATGGGGTAATAGAGATTCCATTTTTATAAATTCGGGTGCATTAGTAGCAAGGGGTATTTCACAATCAGCCAAAATTGTAGCAAATTATCGGGCCGGCGTGGTCGAGTCGGTAAAGCTCATGGTTGCTAAACTGAAAAGTCTTGAGTTCGAACCCTCAGGCAGATGAGGCTCTTTAGCTGGGGACAGCCACTCTTCTAGGAGCGACAACTCCAAAATGAAACAACTGCTGCCTTGTAATTTGTTCTTGGTTGGACAAAGGCTATGGAAGCAAATCCAAAAAGGAAAGCAGGCTGAAAGCGGAGTCAATGGCTCATAACTAGTTTAAAAGTTGACACATATACTTAGTTGTGTTGGAGGGAATCCCTTTCAACACTAAAATTAAGAACAAAGAAGAAGAAAGTAGCAATTTAATTAAAACGGGTATTTCATTTTTAGCTCTCCAATGGTAAAAAAAATGCATTATATTAAACAAGTTACGGAAATTGCCCGTACAACTTAACCTTTTTACATCATCTCAATCATTGCTAAAGTTACTGACTTTTTGCCTCTACAGCTACCATTCTTCAAACCATGAGAAATGATGGCAATGTTTTGGTTGCTGTGGATACAGCTGGCAGAATGCTTGAACTTGCACAGTTAATGGTACTGTCAATCCTTCTCAATCTCATCTATAGTCAGAGCTCTTATATTTGTTTCGGTATTCAAAAACTTTGTATATTGAAAAGTTAAAGATTTGCTGTTTAAGAAAAATAACGACCAGTAATAAAACAAATATAAAAAAAACCTTATTAATAGCAAGCTTTTAAATGCACTGAAAATAAGAAAATAAAACTAGTTTGCTTTCTTTCATAAAAGCTTTGGTTGCTAAAATATGTAAAAGATTTCATGAGTAACCAAAGCATTTATGAAAGAAAGCAAACTAGTTTTATTTTCGGCGCATTTAAAAGCTTGCTATTAGAAGGTTTTTTTATATTTGTTTTATTTTCTACTTTTTAATGATTCCTAATTTATGAAGTCGGCACGACTAAAAGTTTGCTTTAAAACACCCTGCGAAAGCAGCCGCCCATGACCAAATTTTACAGACGACAGTTCTTATTTTTTTTTACCTCCCCTTAGTTTCAAATGGTTTTAAAACTTTATTACCTGCCTCTAATAGGCTTCACTAGATCAATAGTCTCTGTGATTGTAAAGATCCATCGTGAACCACATCACACCAGACTGGTTGGTTAATTGCATCTAGCAGTATAGCTAGATATCTCCCTTTCTGTTATTGAATATAGTAATCTATCGAGTGATTTAATTTTGTAATCTCCCCTTAGTTTCGAAACCTTTTAATTAATTTTTAATGACTAGTTAAACGTCTAATTAAATTAAACATCTAGGTAGACTTGAATTGTCGTCGAAGTGGAACATATTTGGAAAGTTTGAACGAAATCGCTGCATTAGAAGTGTGCCAAAATTAAGTTACAAGATTTGCCACAAACCCACAAACAAACGACAAACAAACAGACGTTGCGAACTAAAAAAAAGCTTGTAAAAAAGGAAAATTTTGCCATTCCAAAATGTCACTTTTACTAATACGGCTCTCAAATATTTTTAACACTTACCTGGTGACTCCGCCAGGTGAAGAGAAAATTAAATTTATCATTTGGTCATACCAAAGACTGTTGCTTCAAGTGTAACCCATACCCTCCCTCTTCTCTCCCTCCCTCCCCCCCCCCCCCATAATTTTGTGACTAGAGTTTCATGGAAATTATTTTTGGATGAAAAGTTCAATAAAATACATAGTACCATTGTTTACCACTTCAATGAAGCTAAAGGCTTGCTGTTTATTGTCATCATTTACTTAGTGGGGCAGCAAAGAGATTTTTTTGAAAACCATAGAATATATGGGTTTATTTATAAATATGATATTTTTAGAAAAGTCAGATAAGCTATTTACAATTAAGTATCCACTTTTTCCTTAACTGTGTCCTACATTGGTTTAGTTAGGATCATGCTTATTGTATAAAAAGTGTGTCTGGATTGGTGAGAGTTGTTCTAGAAATTGCTTATAAATTGAAGGAGTAAAAAAAGTAATAGTAAAATTGAATGCTCAAACCCTTTCATTAACGTTTGTGTAAACATTATTATGATATTATTTGCTGCCTAATGAAAGAACAGTCATTTATAAGTGATATGAACCAAAAGTCTCTAAAAGTAATGAAACAGTTTAAAATTATTTGAGCCACATAAAATTTCAGGTTTTCAAAAAAATATAATTTGCTTTCAGGGTTGGCAAAATTTGGGGGATCAAATCTCAGGATTGTCTAAAACAAAAACATATATTTGTTTTCATTATCTGTACATGTACATATTTTTAATTTAAACAACAGAATAATTTATGAAGTTAAAAAAGCTTATTTTAAATGATTTTTTTTCAATTCCCAGGATCAAATGTGGAGAAGTTCTGAATCAGGACTGACAGCCTATTCACTTGCTCTTCTCAACAATGTTAGTTTTAATGTGGTGGAGTTTGCCAAGTCCCAGGTGAGTGCTGGTCCATGTCTAAATATAGCTTGATGTGAAAGGGGGCTGGGTGTTGAATGTTTTAATATGGTCACTATAAACTTTTGTAGCACTGCTGTACACAGTGCAGGGATCTGACTTTTTCTAATTTGTGTGTGATTTAATAAGTTTTCAGTGAATTTGAATTTTCAGTCTGAAATTTTCCATTGACATTTTCCAGTACCATATTTAAAAGTTTGGAAAAAAAGATGAGACTTAAAAATGATTTTCAGTGTTAATTTAATATAAGAGAACTGTAAGTACTTTAGAAGTGTTTACATGTTGCTGGATCAGCCAACTTGTTGACATGAGACTTGTTCCCCTGAGATTAAACATGTTGCTGGATCAGCCAACTTGTTGACATGAGACTTGTTCCCCTGAGATCAAAAGTGTTTACATGTTGCCGGATCAGCCAACTTGTTGACATGAGACTTGTTCCCCTGAGATCAAACATGTCGCTGGATCAGCCAACTTGTTGACATGAGACTTGTTCCCCTGAGATCAAAAGTGTTTACATGTTGCTGGATCAGCCAACTTGTTGACATGAGACTTGTTCCCCTGAGATCAAACATGTCGCTGGATCAGCCAACTTGTTGACATGAGACTTGTTCACTGAGATCAAACATGTTGCTGGATCAGCCAACGTGTTGACATGAGACTTGTTCCCCTGAGATCAAACATGTTGCTGGATCAGCCAACGTGTTGACATGAGACTTGTTCCCCTGAGATCAAAAATGTTTACATGTTGCTGGATCAGCCAACTTGTTGACATGAGACTTGTTCCCCTGAGATTAAACATGTTGCTGGATCAGCCAACTTTTTGACATGAGACTTGTTCCCCTGAGATCAAACATGTTGCTGGATCAGCCAACTTGTTGACATGAGACTTGTTCCCCTGAGATCAAACATGTTGCTGGATCAGCCAACTTGTTGACATGAGACTTGTTCACTGAGATCAAACATGTTGCTGGATCAGCCAACTTGTTGACATGAGACTTGTTCCACTGAGATCAAACATGTTGCTGGATCAGCCAACTTGTTGACATGAGACTTGTTCCCCTGAGATCAAACATGTTGCTGGATCAGCCAACTTGTTGACATGAGACCTGTTCCCCTGAGATCAAACATGTTGCTGGATCAGCCAACTTGTTGACATGAGACTTGTTCACTGAGATCAAACATGTTGCTGGATCAGCCAACTTGTTGACATGAGACTTGTTCCACTGAGATCAAACATGTTGCTGGATCAGCCAACTTGTTGACATGAGACTTGTTCACTGAGATCAAACATGTTGCTGGATCAGCCAACTTGTTGACATGAGACTTTTTCCCCTGAGATTAAACATGTTGCTGGATCAGCCAACTTGTTGACATGAGACTTGTTCCCCTGAGATCAAAAATGTTTACATGTTGCTGGATCAGCCAACTTGTTGACATGAGACTTGTTCCCCTGAGATCAAAAATGTTTACATGTTGCTGGATCAGCCAACTTGTTGACATGAGACTTGTTCCCCTGAGATTAAACATGTTGCTGGATCAGCCAACTTGTTGACATGAGACTTGTTCCCCTGAGATCAAAAATGTTTACATGTTGCTGGATCAGCCAACTTGTTGACATGAGACTTGTTCCCCTGAGATCAAAAATGTTTACATGTTGCTGGATCAGCCAACTTGTTGACATGAGACTTGTTCCCCTGAGATTAAACATGTTGCTGGATCAGCCAACTTGTTGACATGAGACTTGTTCCCCTGAGATCAAAAATGTTTACATGTTGCTGGATCAGCCAACTTGTTGACATGAGACTTGTTCCCCTGAGATCAAAAATGTTTACATTTTGCTGGATCAGCCAACTTGTTGACATGAGACTTTTTCCCCTGAGATCAAAAGTGTTTACATGTTGCTGGATCAGCCAACTTGTTGACATGAGACTTGTTCCCCTGAGATTAAACATGTTGCTGGATCAGCCAACTTGTTGACATGAGACTTGTTCCCCTGAGATCAAAAATGTTTACATGTTGCTGGATCAGCCAACTTGTTGACATGAGACTTGTTCCCCTGAGATTAACAAATAATCTGTAAGATGCCTGGGATGTTTATTGTAGCTGTTTGCTTGATGATTATTTCAAAAGATATATTTGAATGCAACTATTAATGCCAGTTTCTTACCATGCAATCAACAGAACTATTGTTACATTGTATTGGAATTTGTGAGCAAGGTTAAAGCAATGCGTTTGTTTCAGGTTGAGTGGATGAGTGATAAAGTGATGAGATCATTTGAGGATCACAGAAACAACCCATTCCAGTTGAAACATGTTCGTCTGTGTCACAACCTGGCAGAATTAGCCAGAGTACCCGAGCCAAAGGTAAGCTGAACAGCTCTACCTAGAACTTTCTATGTTGTCAACAAATGTCATTGTTCTTGTACTCTCTAAGTTGTCAACAAATGTCATTGTTCTTGTACTCTCAAAGTTGTCAACAAATGTCACTGTTCTTAGAATGCAACCCTTGTGACACTAGCAGAAATCAACTTTGGTGATCTTGAGATTTCTGCCATGTTACTGCTGTTGTTTCAGACTTGTGGTTTTACATGTAGCCTCTTGTTTGTTGAACATTTGTTATTCTGGTCCACAGAGATATGATACTAAAGTTTGTAACTGTAAATTGTTGAGGGTCATGTCAATGAAAACTTTTATGTGGAATCAGGGCCACTGTGGCTCTCAGGCTGTAAACCAAGGCACTGGCATCCTAATACAAATTTAATTCATTTTGTGATTTACTGCAACACTTGCAGATAAAACTTTATGTGTAATTGTAATCAATAACCCTACATACAGCCATACATTTTATCTAAAGATTAACCTCACCTGTATAAGTAGGCTGACCTTTATACAGCCATACATTTTATCTAAAGATTAACCTCACCTGTATAGGTAGGCTGACCTCCATACAGCCATACATTTTATCTAAAGATTAACCTCACCTGTATAGGTAGGCTGACCTCCATACAGCCATACATTTTATCTAAAGATTAACCTCACCTGTATAGGTAGTCTGACCTCCATACAGCCATACATTTTATCTACAGATTAACCTCACCTGTATAGGTAGCCTGACCTCCATACAGCCATACATTTTATCTAAAGATTAACCTCACCTGTATAGCTAGTCTGACCTCCATACAGCCATACATTTTATCTAAAGATTAACCTCACCTGTATAGGTAGGCTGACCTCCATACAGCCATACATTTGATCTACAGATTAACCTCACCTGTATAGTTAGTCTGACCTCCATACAGCCATACATTTTATCTAAAGATTAACCTCACCTGTATAGGTAGGCTGACCTCCATACAGCCATACATTTGATCTACAGATTAACCTCACCTGTATAGGTAGTCTGACCTCCATACAGCCATACATTTTATCTAAAGATTAACCTCACCTATAGGTAGGCTGACCTCCATACAGCCATACATCTATATACTACTAAAAGTCAACTTTGTTTACATGTTTGAATATTTATTTGTTTGCCTGATCGAAAATTGTGATATGTTCGACTCTATCTGGAAAGCTGTAAAATGGTATGCAGGTAGAGAATAATTTTTTAATGCAGACAGACTGTTGATCACAAATTTATTTAAAGACGTTAATTAATTTATTGATTTATTCCTATGCAGAATAACCCATTTTTTTTAAAAATATTTGAAAAGCCACTAGACTCGGCGGGACCGTGACGTCACAGGTTTTTGTTTACTCTTTAGTACAATAAAATGGCGGCGTCTATTGAAGAAAATTGTGTTCCCATTCAAAAGTTTAACGCGTTCTAAATCTAATTTTCTGTCGGTCATAACTTTAACAATACGTCCGTTTGCTGTATTTATTACGTTCCAACACTTATATCAATTTTCAACTGTCTTTTTCATTTAGTTTTACGATAAATTTCTCTAGATCTAAAGATCAGCTATCGAAGGAAATTTATGAATCTAGCCTAGATCTAGATCTAGATCTAGCCTAGATGTAGGTCACTAGATTCAATGTAAATTCTACATCTAGAATCTATTTCAGGCCTTAATTATTTTATATAAATCTTTGTTTGGCTTATTTAAGATAAAATTTAATTTGAAAGTTAGTACTACTAGACTTATTTTTAGATCTAGATCTAGAATCTATACGCGTAAATCAAGTTGCATAAGGAGACACATAGTATAGTATAAAAATTCACTTGTGACGTCACGAGTAAATAGCTAAAATGGTAGCGTAGTCAGCTCTCATGCAGGAGGCACGGGTTCTAGACCAATATGTCAATGAAATTTTTTTTTTCAATTTTTTTTTTTTAGATGTGAATGATAACGTTGCCTATCTGAACTTGGCAAGATACAGGGCAGGTGAAGTAGAGTTCATCTGTTTCTTTGTCCTAAGCATATGAAAGGATAGTGTGGTCAGATACATGCTCGGCTGGAATTGTTTTTTAAACGATAAAAACATGTTGTCTGAGACTTGGCAGGACACTGGGCAGGTGAAGTAGAGTTGAGTAGGTCACCTGTGACGTTAGTTTATGAAGGGATAGTCCGAAATCGGTGTTTTCGGTGTTTTTAAAAGATAAAAAACATATATTTGAATGTGGGGTCTGTTTTTTGTGACGATAAGTGACACTGCAGTAGCGTACCGAGGAGGGGGGGGGGGGACGGTAGGGGAGGGGAGGCGGGGGGTGGGGAGGGGAGGCGGGGGGTGGGGAGGGGAGGCGGGGGGTGGGGAGGGGAGGCGGGGGGGGGGAAGGGGGGGTGGGGAGGTGGAGGGGGGAAGGGGGGGTGGGGAGGTGGAGGGGGGAAGGGGGGGGGGGACATATGTTGGGGCGCCAAAATGGTTTGGAAAAATAAATTGATAGGTTGAGGGGGGTTCAAATCGAAAGTTTGAGTGGGGGGGGGGGGGGTGGTGCACATCAAAAGTTTGAGGGGGGGGGGTTCAAATCGAAAACTTTGTCCCCGGGCGCCGGGAAGGGTCGCTATGCCTCTGAGTGACAGACGTGATGTTTTTTGATGGATGACCCCCGAAACCCACAGTTATCCAACGGATGACGGGTATTCTAGTTTTATCTAAAGATTAACCTCACCTGTATAGTTAGTCTGACCTCCATACAGCCATACATTTTATCTAAAGATTAACCTCACCTATAGGTAGGCTGACCTCCATACAGCCATACATTTTATCTAAAGATTAACCTCACCTGTATAGTTAGTCTGACCTCCATACAGCCATACATTTTATCTAAAGATTAACCTCACCTGTATAGTTAGTCTGACCTCCATACAGCCATACATTTTATCTAAAGATTAACCTCACCTGTATAGGTAGTCTGACCTCCATACAGCTATACAGTTTATCTAAAGATTAACCTCACCTATAGGTAGGCTGACCTCCATACAGCCATACATTTTATCTACAGATTAACCTCACCTGTATAGTTAGTCTGACCTCCATACAGCCATACATTTTATCTAAAGATTAACCTCACCTGTATAGGTAGGCTGACCTCCATACAGCCATACATTTTATCTAAAGATTAACCTCACCTGTATAGGTAGTCTGACCTCCATACAGCCATACATTTTATCTAAAGATTAACCTCACCTATAGGTAGTCTGACCTCCATACAGCCATACATTTTATCTAGAGATTAACCTCACCTGTAGTCTGACCTCCATACAGCCATACATTTTATCTAAAGATTAACCTCACCTGTATAGGTAGTCTGACCTCCATACAGCCATACATTTTATCTAAAGATTAACCTCACCTGTATAGGTAGTCTGACCTCCATACAGCCATACATTTTATCTAAAGATTAACCTCACCTGTATAGGTAGGCTGACCTCCATACAGCCATACATTTTATCTACAGATTAACCTCACCTGTATAGTTAGTCTGACCTCCATACAGCCATACATTTTATCTAAAGATTAACCTCACCTGTATAGGTAGGCTGACCTCCATACAGCCATACATTTTATCTAAAGATTAACCTCACCTGTATAGGTAGTCTGACCTCCATACAGCCATACATTTTATCTAGAGATTAACCTCACCTGTAGTCTGACCTCCATACAGCCATACATTTTATCTAAAGATTAACCTCACCTGTATAGGTAGGCTGACCTCCATACAGCCATACATTTTATCTAAAGATTAACCTCACCTGTATAGGTAGTCTGACCTCCATACAGCCATACATTTTATCTACAGATTAACCTCACCTGTATAGGTAGGCTGACCTCCATACAGCCATACATTTTATCTAAAGATTAACCTCACCTGTATAGGTAGGCTGACCTCCATACAGCCATACATTTTATCTAAAGATTAACCTCACCTGTATAGGTAGTCTGACCTCCATACAGCCATACATTTTATCTAAAGATTAACCTCACCTGTATAGGTAGTCTGACCTCCATACAGCCATACATTTTATCTAAAGATTAACCTCACCTGTATAGGTAGGCTGACCTCCATACAGCCATACATTTTATCTACAGATTAACCTCACCTGTATAGTTAGTCTGACCTCCATACAGCCATACATTTTATCTAAAGATTAACCTCACCTGTATAGGTAGTCTGACCTCCATACAGCCATACATTTTATCTAAAGATTAACCTCACCTATAGGTAGTCTGACCTCCATACAGCCATACATTTTATCTAGAGATTAACCTCACCTGTAGTCTGACCTCCATACAGCCATACATTTTATCTAAAGATTAACCTCACCTGTATAGGTAGGCTGACCTCCATACAGCCATACATTTTATCTAAAGATTAACCTCACCTGTATAGGTAGTCTGACCTCCATACAGCCATACATTTTATCTAAAGATTAACCTCACCTGTATAGGTAGTCTGACCTCCATACAGCCATACATTTTATCTAAAGATTAACCTCACCTGTATAGGTAGTCTGACCTCCATACAGCCATACATTTTATCTAAAGATTAACCTCACCTATAGGTAGTCTGACCTCCATACAGCCATACATTTTATCTACAGATTAACCTCACCTATAGTTAGTCTGACCTCCATACAGCCATACATTTTATCTAAAGATTAACCTCACCTGTATAGGTAGGCTGACCTCCATACAGCCATACATTTGATCTAAAGATTAACCTCACCTGTATAGGTAGTCTGACCTCCATACAGCCATACATTTTATCTACAGATTAACCTCACCTGTATAGGTAGGCTGACCTCCATACAGCCATACATTTGATCTAAAGATTAACCTCACCTGTATAGGTAGTCTGACCTCCATACAGCCATACATTTTATCTAAAGATTAACCTCACCTGTATAGGTAGGCTGACC